ACACAACTACAAGACTCTCTCACATACATGATGCAATTGGATATTTGTTGCAAAGTGGAGCCAGAAGTGGAAGTCATGTCAGAGTAGTCTGCCAGTAGCCGGGCTGTCTTTCTGTCTGATGATGAAGCTACCCTTCCCCTCACCATCACCATCATCATCCTCATCTTGCTGTGAAGTCATTCATTGATGCTGAATTGCGGTTCAATCGAATCGCTCCCCAGTGTGCAATCGCTGTGGCATGCCGAACCGAATTGAATGCCGACCGCCGCAATAGATGGGCAATAGAAATGTTGAAATTAAAAATAACAGCCTTTAAATGTGAAACCATTATAAAATCCATACAACTCCAGCAACAACAACAAAAACAACAACAAATTGGAAAAAATATCGCACAATTTAAGGGAAATTCAATAGGAAATGAAATTTTAACACCAAGAAATATGAAATGTGAACACGTTTTAAAAGTTTCAATTGTCATTATCCTGTTATTCTGTTTCGGGGATTTTGATAAGCCTAGTCGAACAAACATGACGACAGTGGAGGCATAAGCCTCACCCCCACCCCTTAATCTTGCCTTTCTTCCACCACTCATCATCTTTCAACGTCACCACCCATATGCCAGCGAGGAATAAAATATGAAACCCACAACATGTCCTTTTTTAAGCCCAAACCAAGCAAAAAAATATCCTTCGTCTAAAAAGTTTAGCCAAACATTAATCATTCCGTTAAGGGACATGACCACCGCCATTGCATTGGTCATCTTCTGCCTGCCAAGGCCAAGCGCTTAACAAAATCACTAGAAAAACGAAAAAAATGCTGCCAAATGCCAAACAAAAACTCAAATGAAATGAACGACGTGTTGAAATTTCGAAATTGTAAAAGTCAGAAAATGAATTATTTCCCTGCGCCAACAGGATACAAATTTCCTTGGAGATTTATAGGAAGGAATTTGCAACCAAAAAAAAAAACTACCACAAAAAATATAAATAAATACATTTTTAGGGGAAAAAAAACCCACGTCTGCCAATGTCTTTTCTCACAGGATATCAGTATCCTGTGGTGAGTTAAGGTGTCCAACATTGACAGCCATCAGGGGACAATATTGGCAGGGCATACCAAAAAGAGACCTTATGCTCATATGGTCTAAAATTATTTTGACACCCGGCAAAGTGCTTAACAAATTATCACCACGTCTTATCCGAAAATAAAAAAAAAAAAACGAAAACAAAACTTGAAATGGGGATTTTCAGGATTCAATTCAATATTTCATTTATCTTCTAAAGGAGGTAATAATCGACAGGCCAACTAATCAGAAACATTTTATACTTCTTAAGACCTGTCGTAGATCATATAAGGCGTGGATTGTTTAAATATTTTTTTCAAGGACCTTTAACGGGTGGATTCAAAAAAAAAAATATCGACCTAAAATACGTGGATTTAAAAAAATAAATAATCGACCTTAAAAGGAGTGGATTTTTTAAATAATTTCTTTATCGACCTTTAAAGGCCTGAATTTTTAAATAATTTTTTGGATTTTTTAAATAATTTTTCACGGACCTTTTGAGGCGTTGATTTTTTAAATAATTTATTCAAGGACCTCCTAAGGTGGGATGTTTTAAATAATTTATTCAAGGACCTTTTAAGGCGTGGATTCTCTAAATATTTTTTTTTTCAAGGACTAACCAAGGCGTGGATTTTTTAAATCATTTTTTTTTTTCACGAACTAACCAAGGGGTGGATTTTTTAAATATTTTTCTTTCAAGGACTTACCTAGGCACGGAATTTTAAAATATTTTTTTTCAGTCCTTATGAGACGTGGATTTTTTAAATAATTTTTTTCAAGGTCTATCTAAGGCGTGGATTTTTTAAATAATTTTTTTTCAAGGTCTATCTAAGGCGTGGATTTTTCAAAATAAATTTTTTCAAGGTCTATCTAAGGTGTCGATTTTTAAAATAAAAATTTTCAAGGTCTATCTAAGGCGTGGATATTTTAAATAAATTTTTTTCAAGGTCCTTATGAGGCGTGGATTTTTTAAATAATTTTTTTCAAGGTCCTTATGAGGCGCGAATTTTTTAAATAATTTTTTTCAAGGTCTATCCAAGGCGTGGATTTTTTAAATAATTTTTTTCAAGGTCCTTATGAGGCGTGAATTTTTTAAATAATTTTTTTTCAAGGTCTATCCAAGGCGTGGATTTTTTAAATAATTTTTTTCAAGGTCTATCCAAGGCGTGGATTTTTTAAATAATTTTTTTTCAAGGTCCTTATGAAGCGTGGATTTTTTAAATATTTTTTCCAAGGTCTATCTAAGGCGTGGATTTTTAAATTTGGGATTTTTTAAATATTTGTTTTTCAAGGTCCTTATGAGGCGTGGATTTTTAAATTTGGGATTTTTTAAATATTTTTTTCAAGGTCCTTATGAGGCGTGGATTTTTAAATTTGGGATTTTTTAAATATTTTTTTCAAGGTCCTTATGAGGCGTGGATTTTTAAATTTGGGATTTTTTAAATATTTTTTTCAAGGTCCTTATGAGGCGTGGATTTTTAAACTTGGGATTTTTTAAATAATATTTTTAAGGTCCTTATAAGGCGTGGATTTTTAAATTTGAGATTTTTGGATTTTTCATGGATTTTTTTAAAAATATTTTTAAGGTCCTTATAAGGCGTGGATTTTTAAATTTGGGATTTTTGGATTTTTCATGGATTTTTTAAATAATTTTTTTCATAGACCTTTTAAGGCGTGGATTTTTTAAATATTTTTTTTCAAGGATGTTTTAAGGCGTGGATTTTTTTAAAAAATTTTTTTTCAAGGACCTTTTAAGGCGTGGATTTTTTTAAAAAATTTTTTCAAGGACCTTCTAAGGCTTGGATTTTTTTTAATTTTTTTTTTCAAAATCTATTCAAGGCGTCTACCAAGGCTTGGATTTTTTTAATAATTTTTTTCAAGGTCTAATCAAGGCGTGGATTTTTCAAATAATTTTTTTCATGGACCTTTTAAGGCGTGGATTTTTTAAATATTTTTTTTCAAGGACGTTTTAAGGCGTGGATTTTTTTAAAAAAATTTTCAAGGACCTTTTAAGGCTTGGATTTTTTTTTAATTTTTTTTTTCAAAATCTATTCAAGGCGTCTACCAAGGCTTGGATTTTTTAATAATTTTTTTCAAGGCCTAATCAAGGCGTGGATTTTTTTAATAATTTTTTTCAAGGTCTATCCAAGGCGTGGATTTTTTTAATAATTTTTTTCAAGGTCTATCTAAGGCGTAGATTTTAAATAATTTTTTCAAGGTCTATCCAAGGCATGGATTACAAAATTTTTTTTTCAAAATCTATCCAAGGCATTGATTTTTTAAATAAGCTTTTTTTCAAAATCTATCCAAGGCGTGGATTATTAAATAATTTTTTTCAAGGTCTACCTAAGGCTTGGATTTCTTAAATAATTTTTGTCAAGAACCTTTTAAAGCGTGGATTTTTTAAATATTTTTTTTAAAGACCTCATGAGCCGTGGATTTTTTTAAATATTTTTTTAAGGTCTATATGAGGCGTGGATTTTAAATAATAATTTTCAAGGCCTATCCAAGGCGAGGCTTTAAAAAAATCCAAGAAACTCCGTATTTGTATGTTTATTTAAAAGAAAGTTCCTAATTTTCCAAATTTTTAATTTTCTACTTCCATGAACTTGTCTCATTTTGTAGCAGAGAATTTTAATGACTTCCCAAGGATGAATGGATGGATGCTTATTTTAATGGTCCAGTTTTGCGTTCCACTCCGTATCCTTATATTGCCATTGTTGTTGTTGTTGCGGCTGCTACTTGCACAATTTGCAAATGCAAATATCGAAATCGTTTATTTTGGCATAGAATTGGAAAAGAAACAAATCTGCTAAGGGCAGTTTTGGGTAATTTGAAGGATAATCAACCCCTCGACAAACAGCCAAACAAACAATCAGACAGTCATTCAGACAAGCACTCATACTCTCCGATACTTATTAAAACATATGTGAATGCAAATTGAAGATATGTTACGACTTTGTTGCCCACCATGTGAGGATGGTAATTTGCGAAACACACACACATACACATGCCGACATGAATTTCGTATGGTACTTCGAAAGGTCCTTTTTTGAATTAACGAAATCAAGTCCGGAATTCTGTTGCTTCCCTTCTTCTCTGCATTTTTAAGGAGGGGTGGGGCAAAGAGTGTTGGTTGTAAACGTACCAACAAATGTTAGAAAATAAGATTGATGCTCTTCAATGACGACGGGTCGTCCTGCCTTTTGACTCGTAATTTGGCCTTCGAAGTAAATTTTTAAAGATTTCATTATCAGGCCAGAATTTTGGCAAAAGAATATTTAGTTGGGTGAAAAAATACATTTTTCACAGATCTGCACTTTTTTTGATAAAAAATGTCTCTAAAAACCTAGATTGATTTTTTTCTAAATAATTGTTTTGTCCTCCGCTCATGAGGTGCACTTTCAACAGAAAACTTCTTCTATCTGTCTAAAAGTGAATTTTTCTATAATAAAATATGTCCTCCATCTGTAAAGTGAATAATTCAATAGAAAATTCTCTTTTCAGGGACCGAATCCTCATCGAGGTCAAATGTGAATTCCGTAGACAAATTGCTCCCTAGGACCTGTGGAGATCTTTTTCTCAGAAAATTTTCCGGACGGAGTCTGAAGTGATTTTCTATAAAGAACTGGGTCTCCATAAGGCACATGTTCTTATAGAAGCTCCCATCAGCCCATATATGGAGACTTCCTTCAGCTCTCCAATTGAAATCTTTCACCTCGTCTGTGGAGACTTCTTCTGGACACCTATAAACGCTCCCTTCAATTGGAAAAAAACTGTTTAGAGCCTATGGTCCTTAAGCTCATCTATGGAAACTTTCTTTTACCTGTCTATGGAAATTCAGTTTCAAATTTTTTGAAAAATTTTCCATACCGAACTTTTTATTTTATTTTTATAGAATTTTGAAATACATTTTAACAGCTTAAAATTTAAATATTTTTCTTTGTCCTAACTTTCAGCCACCTCCTTTTGGCTTTAAATAGCTAGGATCTTCATCAATTTTGGCTCCATGTGAATCATCTTCATTTAGCTGCACTAACTCCCTGTCCTTTGCCCGAGAATTATATTCATTCCATTTCTGTAACGTGGAATCGGCAAAGAGGACATAGAGGACACCACAGCCAATTAAAATGGCGCCACATATCTGGAACACCCATTTCCAGGCTTCAAAGGTTTGCTGGAATTAAAAAAACACATATTTTGTTATAAAAAAATAAATTCTAAAATTAATCATCTCTAAATAATACTCACATTCCCCAACGTCAGCACACCCACAATGTAGGGTGAGATAAAACCCGGCAGGACACCAATCGTACTGCTAATACCCATGACAATGCCGGCGAAATTCGGTGCTATATCCACCATGGAGGCCAAGGCACCCGTTGACACAGTACCATGGAACATAATGGCCAAAGAGAGTAGGACAATGGCCGTTGTAGATTTGTTTCCAAAATAGGCCAGGACCAAGACCACCATGCCCATGAGAATGCAACCTACAAGAGAGAAGGAGGGGAGAGAAAATAACAGCATAGGAGTGGCCTCTATACGTTAGTTATTGTAGTTATTGTATAACAGTGGCAAGCTACTCGAGAGTAGAGGTCTCTGGGGCCAACTGTCAACAGTAGGGGACTCTGAGGCCATCTATCATCAGGAGAGGCCTTAGGGTTTAGCTACTCAGCAGAAGAGGTCTCTGAGCCTAGTTGCTCTATTGCAGGCCATCAGAGATCAATTACTGTACAGGGTAGGCATCATCTACTGGCCAATTTGTCCACAGTAGTGGCCTGTAATGGGCATTTTCTCCACAATCGTGGCCTCTGAGGCCAATTACTACTACACCACAGTGCACATTGATGGCAGATATTTTACAGCAGTGACCTCTAGTAGTCAATTATTCTTTTACAGGGCCACTGAGATCACATACTCTACAGCAGTGGCCACTGAGGTTAGTTACGCTGGAGCAGTAGCCTTTGCGGGTCAGTTATTCTATAGCAGTGACCTCTTCTGGTCAATTACTTTAAAGCAGGGCTCTTTGAGGCCAGCTACTCCATAGCAGTGACCTGTTCTGCCCATATTTTATACAGCTGAGGCCAGCTACACTACAGCAGTGACTTCCAATAATCAATTACTGAATAACAGGGTCTCTAAGGTCAGCTACTCAACAGCAGTGGCCATTGAGGTCAGTTACTCTACAGCAGTGGCATTTTCTGACCAGCTGCTCTATAGCGGTGACCTCTACTAGTCAGTTACTCTATAGCATGAACATATGCGGGCACCTTCTTTACAGCAGTGAACTCTACTGGCCAGACTTTGTAGCAGGAGTCACAGAACCAACTACACTACAGCAGAGACATCTTCTGGTCAGCTATTCTACAGCTGAGGCCTTTGAGATCAGCTACTCTACAACAGTGATATCTACTAGTCAATTACTCCATAACAGGGCCTCTCAGGCCAGCTATCTATATCACAGTGACCTCTGCTAGTGATTTACTTTATAGAAGGGGCCTCTTAGGCCAGATACTCTTCAGCATGCCTCTTCTAGTCAATTAATCTTTAGCAGGGCTTTGAGGCCAGCTACTTTAGAGCAGTGGCCTCTACTGGTCAGATACTCTATAGCAGTGACATCTACCAGCCAGTTACTTTATAACAGGGGCCTCTAATGGCAGCAAATTTACTGCAATGAACTCTGAGACCGGGTATTATACAGCAGTGACCTCTACTAGTCATTTATCAATTTATTTGCTAGACTTAACCGGGGCTGGGAATGTGTTTTACTCACAAATTGTTGTTGCCAATTTTCTCACATTCGTTCTACTCATTTTCTCTCTCTTCAGTAAATAGTCGGCAAATATTGAAAATCCATAGGCGAAAATCATGCGCATCAAATGGGGCAAGCCGGACAATATTCCAGTCTAAGAAAAACCCAAATCCACAATAAAATCGATTGTATTTTCAAAACTCCTACTTACCGCTCTAATATCCCACTGATGTATGACCCTAAAATATGTGGGAGCCTGGGTCATCAGCGTAAATAAACCCCATATAACTCCGAATTGAGCAATGACATTCATCCATACTGGTCGCGAGAGAAAAATTTCCTTCCATGGTGTACCCACGGCCGAGGCATTTTGAACCGCCGAACCCAACGACTTTTCAATATATCTCAACTCAGAATCGCTAATTCGAGGATGTTGAGCTGGCGAATCATAGACAAAATATAGCCATCCCAACCACCAAACTGTGCCAAAAATTCCACAAAAATGATAGACCCACACCCAGGAACTCCAATGCATAATATAACCAAAGAGAGGATAGAAGAATGCTATTCCAACAGAGCTGCCCAAATATGCGGTCACAAATTTACTGCGTTCATTGGGTGGTATCCATTTGCCGGTCATAACATGCATGGCTGGCCAGGTGAAGCCCTTCAAAAATGGAAAGACATTTCAGACTGAGTTATATTCAAAATTATCATTTGAATACTTACCATAATTAGACCCTGCAGTACCCTTAGCACAATCAAGGCCCTAAAGTCCCACCGAGCCGTAGCTGGTATCAGAAAACATAACCAACAACCCAAGACATTGGCAAGACCAAATACCAACTTGGTACCATATTTCTTGGCCATAATACCACCCGGTATCTGGGTTAACCAATGAGCCCAGAAAAAGGAACCCAATACCAAGGCCTGTTGATATTCATTCCAATTGAAACGGATTGGCGCATCCGGCGTGATCTAAGAGTAAAAAGAAAATTGTCCATCCAATCAGCTGATAATATTTAAAATTCTAGAGTCTGAAAATATGCAGCAAGCCAGGATAAAATATATATAAAAGAGATTTAGAGATGATCAGTAGAACGGGAGACTTTATCGATTAAGTGAAGGGAGTCTTTGAGGCACAGCTGAATCAGGGAGTCTCTGAAGGGAGTCAGAAGGGTGTCTTTATAGACGAGCTGAAAGGAGTCTGCGTAGACGACCTGAAGGGCCTCGTTGGGGCCATTTCCCAAGTTTACTAAGGCTGACCACCACGGATGCACAATGCCTGGCCAAACCCTTCTGCAATCAATGAATTGCTTTTGCAACGATTTCAACTTGCCGTCTCTGACTGTAGCAGACTTCTTTCTTTGTTGTTAATAGTATTCCGACTTAGCACCAAAACAACCAAAAACTTCTTACCCGTAATTCACACAACAAAGGAACAGCCAATTGATCTTTTCCTTATTGCTAGTAATACTCGCTCCACAAACAATGCTCTCCAAACACACAAATGACTCTACTATCAAAAATTAATTCGATGAGCCACGGACAATATTTTACTCCAACTACATATATTGGCTCTACTTATTTGTCGAATATTCTTCACAAGTAATAATCCAACGATTGGCAATATTTTTCCTCGAGTAACATTTTTTTTATTTTTTTTTCCTTGCTCATGTATATTTAATTCGAAAAGGAAGAGTTTTTGTTCTTAACTATAAAAATGTATTTATTAAAGTTCCAATGAATATTTCTCCTTGCTTGCGAAAAAATGAATGGCAAATAAGTTTTTCTAAGCAAACAGTACGGTTTTCCGTGCACTAATGCTTCTTCTTATTTGCAATACAGCTTTACACTTTAAAATTCTATTTTTTTTTTTTAAGTTCACATTTCTCTTTCTTTCTCTGTTGTGTGATTGTTGCTATTTTTGCTCTATTCATTTTTTTATGTTAGTGACAACGGTATTGCTAACCAAGAGTGGTTTTCTTTGACAATTAGCATAACAGAAGAAAGAGAGTAAAAAAGGCGGGAGAATAACAAGGAATCGTGTTTATGTGGGGTATGTTCAGTGAAAGCTACATTGATGCTGCTGTAGTGTTTCTCACATAAAAAGGCGTCTTTAAAGAGGAGCTGAAGACAATCTTTTTAGAAAAGCTGAACGGAGACTTTATAGACGAGTTGAAGGGAGTTTTCAAAGGTCAGAAGACCACAGGAAAGTTTTCATAAACTACCGGAAAAAAACTCCTCGACTTACATTTACTGAGTTATTTCTTAGCCCTGTTGCTGACATCTCAGAGGCTTCTGGTAGATCAGCGTATGATAGAGTCTCAATTTTGATCGGCACAACCATTTCCACAATCGTTATATTCAAATTGATGCATATCATATAGTTGACGGCAAAGCCAATAAATACCAAGTGCCAGAGGACGGTGCGGGCTTGGACTGAAAGAAAAGAAATAAATAAAAAAAACAAGTAAAATAGCATCAGTCAGTTTTGCCGATAGATTTATACCAAGTTATGATTATTCAAACGGTTGACCCTTTATAGGGGAGGTTCTAAAGCAATTGGCGAATAGTAACCCATTCGCATATGACCTAAGAGTGATTAAAATATTACAACGTGCCAGACTTGGACTGTATCGATTACTTGCTATATTTTATATGAGATATGAGTAAATTCTTGGAAATATGCATGAGGTAACAGATATAGCGGGCCGAAGTATTCCATTTTCATACCTCATCTAATGCCGATAAAAATAGTGGTATGTGCAAAATTTGAAGGAAATCGAGCATTTATGTCCAATTTTATGCGAAATAATAAATTTCGATAAATAACATATTCGGATCAGATTTCTGGTTAAGAGAAATATTTAGATATAGCAAGTTGTAAAGAATCACCGACTTGTTTCGCAAGTTATGACAGATATAAGTATTGGAAATTGTGACCCTTTGTGGGTGAGGTACCATAAGGGGTTGGCAGATATATATCAACTTCACAACAGATCTTGCGTTAGCAAAAATAATTGGATGTGTGAAATTTGAGCTAGTTTTCTGTTTCGCGTTTTATGATCGTTTTGGTTATTCAAAATTTTGACCCTTTGTGGGGGAAGTACACGATATGTCCCATTTTCACAGCAGATCTTGTGTTAGTAAAAATAATAGTATGTGTGAAATTTGAAGAGAACCGGATGCTTATTTCGGATTTTATGATCGTTTTGGTTGTTCAAAATTTTGACCCTTTGTGGGGTGGTACCAGAAGAAATGGTCCGATCTCTACCATCTTTATAACAGATCTTGTGTCGATAAAAATATTGAGATTTGCCAAGACTGAATGGAATCTGATGTTAATTTCGCGTTTTAGGAGCTTCATGGATATTCAAAATTTTGAATCTTTGTGCGGGAGGTACCAGAAGGAGTGGACAGATGCATTCCATCGTCACAGCAGATCTTGTGTTAGTAAAAAATATATATATTTTTGATGAACCTAAAATTCTAAGAAGATTAAGCCCTGTCCTCCCGATATTCGGTATTTTGATGATATTAGCGAGTTGAAGTTTGGAATCGATACTAGAGCCTATGAAAAACAATTACTCATGCAAGATTACGTCTTCATATAGCCCGTATATAAAGGTTTTCATTTGAGCTGCATTTTTCGGCGGTTTTTTTTAACTTTTCAAGTTCCTTCCGAATGGTGGAGAGTATAAAAAGTTCGGCCCGGCCGAATTTTAACTGCTTTTTTACTTGTTTTTATTTTCTTACCGTTACACATATTGCGGCGGATTCTTATTTTCTTTTATTTAATTTTTCTTTTCATTTATTTTCCTACGTTTCATATCAGTCCTGATCTTATATTGATCCACAGCCACATATATCTGGGGGGCTATGGCAAAATTTATCCGCCAAATATCCACTCTTTATTTAATCACTTAATCTGAAGACAAATTTCCCGCTTGCCAATCGCCTAATCAATTCACTTTCACTTGATCTGTTCGTTTGAAATATCTCAATCCAAATGCAATCTATCTTCTTGGATTCGCTTAATAGCACCTCTTGGTATATATATATGTACATATTTACATTTGTTTGTGTTTTTGCGTGTTTTATTGCTGCTTGCAATTATGATAACGCCAAGCAGCAGAGTTCTACATTGCAACTCTCTTTATTTTAGATGTCAAGCACAGAGAGAGAGAGAGAGGAGAAACAATAAAGATTTAGTAGGCCACCTGTTAAAAGTGTCATAAAAATCAACTTAACTCAGCAACCAAACGACTTTTCTTTTACCCTACATCCAGGAGTTATTCTAATTTTCGAAAGCAAGGGGATTTAAGGATCAGCAGGATGTGAATTTGATTTTTTATAGGAGCATATGATCTGAAAGCTTAATATTTAAAGACAAATGTTCAACGATCATCTGTGGTAGAAGCGTGGATTTTTAGAAAATACAGCCTCTGATTTAAGAACTGTGATTTTAAAAATACATTTTTTTCGATTCCCCTATTGGCGTAACTTTTTATTACTCTCAATTACAGAGATAAATGCTCTCTGTATGAAGTTAAGCCAATGGGGGAATACTCCAGACTTAAGCAACTGATCAACTGATTAAAACTTCAACAATAACAAAACCAATTAACTTATTTTTATACCCTACACCACAAGGTGGTCAGGGTATTATGTCTTTGTGCATTTGTTTGTAACAGGCAAAAGGAAACGAGATAGACCCATAGTTCCTTTTGATGATCTGCATAGAATCATATTCTGAATCGATTTATGCATCTCCGTCCCTCCGTCTGTCCATGTATTTTTTGTAAACAAAGTACAGTTCGCATTTATTGCCCAATCCAGATGAAATTTTGCACAAATCTTTGTTTGGCTCAAGGACAAACCCTATTGAAATTGGAGATAATCGGTCAAAATTTAGATATAGCTCCCATATATAACTTCGTCCGATTTGCCTTTTATTGTGCACCAAACGTGTAATATCAGCCCGAATAGTATGGAATTTTGCACATACAACCAAGTTAGGCCTGAAAATAAGTATGCCAAATTTGATCGAAATCGGTTCAGATATAGCTATAGCTCCCATATATATTGTTCATCCGATTTGTTATATTTATTACCCACAGACGTAATATGCAATCCGTAACAACGATATTCTGGGAAATATATGAAATACAGCTCAGAAATACCTTTGCTAAATTTTATCGAGATCGGTTCAGATTTGGATATAGCTCCCATATATAACTTCGTCCGATTTGCCATTTTTTGCGCACCAAACGTCTAATATTTGCCCAAATATGATGAACATACGACCGAATTGAGTCTAGAAGCTAGTATGTCAAATTTGGTGAAGATCGGCTCAGATATAGCTATAGCTCCCATATATACTGTTCATCCGATTTGTTATATTTGTTACCCACAACCGTAATAGGCACTCCGTAACAAAGATATTCAGGGAAATATATGACATACAGCTCAGAAATATCTTTGCCAAATTTTATCAAGATTGGTTCAGATTTGGATATAGCTCCCACATATAACTTCGTCCGATTTACCTTTTATTGTGCACCAAACGTCTAATATTTGCCCAAATAGGATGGAATGTGGCGCATACGACCGAATTGAGTCTAGAAGCTAGCATGTCAAATTTGGTGAAGATCGGCTCAAATATAGCTATAGCTCCCATATATATTGTTCATCCGATTTGTTTTATTTGTTACCCTCAGCCGTAATATGCAATCCGTAACAACGATATTCAGGGAAATATATCAAATACAGCTCAGAAATATCTTTGCCAAATTTTATCGAGATCGGTTCCGATTTGGTTATAGCTCCCATATATATTTTTATCCGATTTTAAATTAATTGTACACCAAATGGGCAATATAAGTCCGAGATAGAAATGCTTCGGCATATTTAGTCCTTTGAACTTTAAATTATAATTATAATCATAGAGTGTATGATTGAATTCTCCCATAAAAACTTTTAATTGCTATGCAGAGCTCTACTAAATTAGCAAAGTGGTGTAGGGTATCATAAAGTCGACCCCACCCAACTTTAAGACTTTTCTTACTGGTTTTAAACATATTTTAAATTTTTTAACTCTATTTCCATAATCTATATTGCATTTATCGCCCTCATCCGTCTCTCTCTCTCTCTCTCTGTCACTCTCTCGCCTCTTGTTATATACCAATCACGATAATTGCAACGAAAGTAAAAGTGTCAAACACGGCTGCTTGGCCGGCCTTATCATTGCAAATAAAACAAACATTTTTTTGCCAACTAAGTGAAGTGCTATTAAGTGAATCCATGACAAATGGATTGGACGTGATTCTGTTTTTTTTTTTTTTTGCTTTTTTTCAAACGGTTAGATTAAAACAGCTTCGAATAGTTCCATTACTAATTATTTTTTTTTTTTTAATTATCTCAACTTGGCAGTTCTTCAAGATCGAACCTGGTGTCGTGGGAACAAGATTCGAATTAAAAATAATAATAAATCACAATAAGGTCATCCTTCTAAATTGGAGCCGACAAAAAAGCAGTGGGATTTGGAACGTCTTTCTCTGTGGTTGTTTGGTTTAGAGTCCGAGAAAATCACAACCCCAAAATGTGCGATGGTAAGTGGAAATCCCATAGACCACATTCTATGGATAACAGTCCGCCAAAACGTTTATTCTAAAAATGGAAAATTCTGGATAGGATGTCTTTTATACATAGTCGCTTATTTTCTTCCAAAGCTCTAGGATTAGGTAGCAATCATGGAAATGCTACATAAGATCCAAGGCTAGGATCTTCTCCCCCACTTTAAAAAGAAATTAATTCGGTCTTTATCAACTATTGATTGTAGTGGTTTCATTTGGAACGCATTTTTCTTTGGTTGGATGGCTGAGTATCTGATGAAAATGTGCGATGATAATTCACACGGACTATGGGTAGCACTTCCTTTATCCAGGGAAATTTCATAGATAAAGGATTTCAAAGGATCTTTCATTTTAAGAAGAACTCAAGATTGTCCAATACCAACCTTACAAATTAAAAAAATTCGTCTTTTCACTGACTGCATATAGCCGGCATTTAATTGGGTGCAAAGTCAGTAGATGGATCATATTTCTTTCATGGATATCTGACAACATCTGCAACGATGCTATCTTGAATTTTTTTTATAAACCCCAATATAATGCAGATATCTATACATGAGCCAATTTTTCAAATCTTATCACTCCGTCATTAAGATATGACACAACTTGTTGAAGCCTCATTCCGAGACTATCAGATTTATTATTTTCGAGAAACTGTAATATCAAACATTAATTTCGAAATTTAAATGAAAAATATTCAATATTTTTTTTTCAGATATTAATAGATCTCAAAAATTTTTTTAACTTTTTTTCAGAGGCAGGAGATCTCCAAATGTGGATTTTTAAATTATCTTTTTCAAGGACAAACTGAGCTCAAATATGGAATTAAAAAAAAAAAATTCAAACGCCTACTGACCTTGAAAATTAGAATCTTTAAATAATTTTGTTTCAAGGACCTACTAACCTTGAAAATTTAAATTTTTAAATATTTTTTTGAGGACTTAGATTTTTTAAATATTTTTTTCAAGGACCGACTGACCTTAAAAATTGGAATTTTAAAAGAAATTTTTCAAGGACTAACAAGCGTTCTAACGTGGATTTTTCAATAATTTTTTCAAGGACCAAAAGACCTCCAAACTTGATTTTTAATAATTTTTTTTTCAATCACCTTTGATTTTTTAAATATTTTTAAGGTATTTATTTTTTTCCTTTTCTTTTCAGTTCAAGCCCGTACCGTCCTTTGGTTCCTGGTCTTCATTGGATTTGCTCTCAATTATATGATACGCATCAATTTGAATATTGCCATTGTAGAAATGGTTATGCCAACAGATCCAAAGACTACAGGTCGGGCGCCTCGAATTGGAGAATCACAAGACAAGCTTTCGGCGATGTCAACATATGAGGAAAAATATGTTACCAACAGTTCTGAAGGTCTCTTGATTTTGGAGTTGGAAGGGGAACATCCAAAGAACACCTCAGGAGGGGTAAGTCAAAAAAGTAGGAAAAGACCCCTTCAGATGCTCTTAGTTGATTTAGAGAGACTACCATCGCCTCGTCCAGTGATACTCGTTTTATCTCGTCTTGGAAGGCCAGCCAGACTTTAGGTGGTCTATAGAGCCAGTCTTTAGCCTATAAAGAGCCCGGTCTATAGAGATAGTGAGAGAGAGACCGGCTTCAGCTGGTCTAAAGAAAGGAGAGAGATCGGCTTCAGCTGGTCTAAAGAGAGGAGAGAGACTGGCTTCAGCTGGTCTATAGAGAGGAGAGAGACCGGCTTCAGCTGGTCTATAGAGAGGAGAGAGACCGGCTTCAGCTGGTCTCTAGAGAGGAGAGAGACCGGCTTCAGCTGGTCTCTAGAGAGGAGAGAGACCGGCTTCAGCTGGTCTCTAGAGAGGAGAGAGACCGGCTTCAGCTGGTCTCTAGAGAGGAGAGAGACCGGCTTCAGCTGGTCTCTAGAGAGGAGAGAGACCGGCTTCAGCTGGTCTCTAGAGAGGAGAGAGACCGGCTTCAGCTGGTCTCTAGAGAGGAGAGAGACCGGCTTCATCTGGTCTATAGCGACAACCATCAGCTGTCCTTCATCTCGTCTATAAAGACCCTCCTTCATCTCGTCTATAAAGACCCGCCTTCATCTTGTCTGTAAACGCTGGCCTTCAGCTCCCTTTGGTCTACGTGCCTTCCTTCATATGATCTCTAAATTATTTATCCTTACATTTCCTTAATTTATTTTATTACATGCTGCAAACTTTCAGGCGCTAGAGTTGTAAACACCATCAGCTGATACTTTGTGTTTTTTCCTTAGATCTCTCCTCATGACTCAACCCGTTTCAATTGGAATGAATACGAACAAGGTCTAGTATTGGGTTCCTTCTTTTGGGCCCATTGGATAACCCAGATACCGGGAGGTATTTTGGGTAAAAAATATGGCACTAAATTGGTGTTTGGCCTTTCCAATGGCATGGGCTGTTGGTTGTGTTTTCTAATACCCACAATGGCGCAATGGGATTATAGGGCCTTGATTGTGCTAAGGGTGCTACAGGGATTGGTGGCGGTATGTATGGGAGATTTTTTATAAATTTACAATCTTGAAGTTAATATTTTTTCATTTTTTTTTCAGGGCCTAGCCTGGCCCTCAATGCATGTGTTGACAGCTAAATGGATACCGCCCAATGAACGTAGTAAATTTGTCACCGCTTATTTGGGTAATTCGGTGGGAGTGGCTGTATTTTATCCCCTGTTTGGTTATGTCATGTATTGGGCCTCATGGCCTTGGGTTTTTCACATCTGTGGTGCTTTGGGCGTTCTGTGGTGGTTGGGATGGCAGTATTTTGTCTATGACTCACCGGCCCAACATCCACGCATAAGTGCGACAGAGGCGAGTTATATTGAAAATTCGTTGGGCGCCACTGTGGATAGCAATAGAAAGGTGCAGACACCATGGAAGCCCATATTGACCTCTAGACCGGTGTGGATGAATGTCATAGCCCAGTGGGGTAGTATATGGGGCCTATTTACTCTGATGACCCAGGCTCCCACGTATTTTCGAATTTTACACAATTGGAATATTCAGACGGTGAGTTGGAGGAGTTTTTTGATTTTTTATAAATTCTCCTATTTTTTATTTTTTTGCAGACTGGCATCTTTTCGGGCTTGCCCCACTTAATGCGCATCATTTTTGCCTATTGCTTTTCCCTGTTTGCCGATTATCTTCTGAGGACAGAGAAGATGAGCCGAACAAATATCCGGAAATTGGCAACAGTATTTTGTAAGTATATGACATTTCCATCCCTGGATGAGTTTGGAAATTTATCTTAATGGCAAAAAAAACGATGGTAGAATTCAGAAGGTAACCTGATTTTTAATAGGCATATCCGGCTAAGAATTTTCTGTTATTTACCTTGTCAAATTTAGTTGCTGAGAAACCAAGTTCCCATCTCTGATGTATTTAATAATATACATTTTGACAAAATGAGATTTTTTCATACGTAAAAACATTTGATTGCAAGAGGTTACCTTCTTAATTTTACCATGGGTAAAATATCGAAATTTTTATAAATTTTACAGCATACTTTTAGGCTCGGCCTCTGACCACACTGCTGCATTTGATAATTGCATCCATATTTATTATTTTCCTCCCTTTCCTTTTAGGCTGCATTATCAAGGGTTTTGTGGTCCTTTCTCTGGCCTACTTTGGCTACAATCCAACGGCTGCAATTGTTCTGTTCACCGTGGCCACCATGTTCCATGGCGCCGTATCATCGGGATCCTTGGCCTCTATGGTAGATATAACACCCAATTTTGCTGGCATTGTGTTGGGTTTGAGTAGCATGATTGGTGTTCTGCCTGGTTTCATCTCGCCCTACATTGTGGGCCTGTTGACATTGGATAATGTAATTATTAGGAGATCACTTTTTTGAGAATTGTATCTTGAGATTAATTTTTTTCTAGCAAACCTTTGAGGCCTGGCAACATGTATTCCAAATTTGCGCCACAATGTTAATTGGCTGTGGGCTGCTGTATGTCATATTTGGCGATTCCACATTACAGACATGGAATGATTATAAATCAAGGGGGAGAGATGAGGAATCGACGGAAGAGATTGGGTAGAGGGGGTATCTTAGAACATTTTTGTGTGCTCTTATTTCATAAATATAGATTCCATCTTTTTATTTGGTTATATCTTAATTGTAAAGCATACTTTCAGGCTAATGAAATCTGGGTTGGAAAATACACATTGCTTCCTGAGTAGTTTATACAAAAAGTGGGATTTTGAAGCAAAATTTCGTAAAAATCTACCACTTTAGGGAAGGACGGTCCTTGGTCCGTCGGTACTTTTAGAATTAAAGTCTTCAAATTTCGTATGTAGATCCACTATTGATGCGAGAGACCAGGTAAGTTCGAGCTCTATTGCCGCTAAACTCTGAGGAGAACTAGTCTAAAGCAGTGACCTCCTGAGTAAATAACAAGGCCTGCTACTCCATAACATTGCCTTTGAGGCCAGCTACTCTACACATCCTTCCCTTAGACCTGAAGGACCTAAAAAAATTTTCAAAAGCCAAAAGACACTTCTGGAGGGCTGCAGTGTATTATGTGATCACAAAACTATAGCAACGCCCTCTAATGACCAGCTACTTTAAAGCAGCCCATTGGAGGTCAGCTTCTTTACAAAAGCGACATTTTCCGGTCTGCTACTCTACAGTAGTGGCCTCAGTGGTCGGCTACTATAGAAAAGATCCTATGAGGATATTTACTTGACAGCAGTGACATCTACTCATAAATATTTTTACGACATGGGTGGCCTCTGCTTGCAAGTTACTCTACATCAGTGGCCTCTACATATCAATTAACATCCAACGGGGGCCTCTACTAGAAAGCTATCCTACAGCAGAGCCTTAGAGGCTATCTATCTGAGGCTACTGACCAGATACTCTACTACTAAGACCCTCTATTCTATAGCATTGACCAAGTATAAAGACCTGCTACTCTATGGCAATGGCCAACTATTGTTCAACTACAACAGCAGCGCACTCTGAAACCAGCTACTTTACAGTAGATGACTCTGACATCAACTACTTCACAGCAGAGACATATAAGACCAGCTTCACTGCACCAGAGGCCTCTTTTGGTCAGCCGCTTAACAGCAGTGCATTCTGAAACCAACTACTTTATAGCGGAGGCCTTTGAGACAAGCCTCACTTCAGCAGTGATCTCAGTTACACTAAACACTGTGACTAGCCACTTTACAGTAGAGGTCTCTGGAACCAGCAACTTTACAGGAGAAGTCTTTGAGGACAGTTTCATTAGAGAAGTGGCCTTTATTAGCCTGTTTCCATAAAGCAACGGTCTCTATTAGCCATCTAATCTACATCAATGGCTTTTGAAACTTGTTACTCTTGTGGTGGTCCTCTGAGTCCAACCACTTTACAGCAGTTATCTCCACTATTTAATTATTGTATAGCAGGGCCTTCTGGAAGCTAGCTGCTCCATTATTCTAGCAATGGTCTCCAGGGCCAGTAACTCTACAGTAATGACCTCTACGAGTCAATTACTCTATAGCAGTGGCATTTGTAACTCAGCTACTATAGTACTGGGACACGGAGCTCATCTGCTTTATAGCAGTGACATCTGCGATCACCTACTCTACCGCAGTGGCTTCTGGTGGACAGTAACTCTACTGCAGCGACATCTACTTGTCAATCATTCTATAGCAGGGCATCTGAAATACAGCTACTCTCTTATAGAGACTCTGAGGTCATCTGCTTTCCACCAGTGTCATCTAGGGTTACCTACTCTACAGCAGTAGCCTCTGGGGCCAGTAAGTCTACATCAGTGAGCTCTACTAGTCACTAGGTACTTCGGTTACCCAGCTACTATATTATAGAGACTCTGAGGTCATCTGCTTTACAGCAGTGACATTTGGGATTACCTATTCTACCGCAATGGCCTCTAGGGCTAATAACTCTACAGCAGTGACCTCTAATAGTCAATTACTTAATAACAGGGGATTCTGTAATCCAGCTACTCTATTATAGAGACTCTGAGGTCGTCTGCTGTACAGCAGTGACATTTGGGGTTACCTACTCTACAGCAGTGTTCTCTACTAATCAATTACGCTATAGCAGTGTCATCTGTAACCCAGCTTCTCTATTTCAGGAATGTGGATGCCATCTGCGGTCACTAACTCTAGAGCAGTGGCATCTGGGGGCCAGTACTTATACAGCAGTGACCTCTACTAGTCAATTACTCAATAACAGGGGCTTCTGTAATGCAGCTACTCTAATCTAGGGGCCGGAGCCCATCTACTTTACAGCAGTGCAATCGTAAACTACAGCGGTGACCTCTACAAGTCGATTACTATATAGCAGGGACCTCTTCTATCCAGCTACACAATTGCAAGTCTGTGAGGCCAATATTAGCACACTCTAAGGCCAGCTTCTCTACAGCACTGTTCTCTCTGAGTGACTTCTTCAACTTTCAATTGAATGTCAAAGTCATCCAGGGCTGGAAATGTGTTATTGCTTACAAATTGCCGTTGCCAACAACCTTGCATAAGACCTCCCCCAATAAAATCTTAATTTGGTTAGCCTAAGGTAGCCCAAGATTTTGATAACACTTTTCCGCTATTGCCAAAAAACATTGTTTTTTATTTTGATTTTTTTTTAAACGATAACAATCATAAAAGCATTAAAAGAGCTTACTACGTCTAAAGAGAGTGTGTGTGTGGCGAAAAGTAAACGACCTACATACACACCGGGTTTCTGTTTTTTTATTATCATAATTCCCGCCTGATAATCTCCGGCAAATAGTGGGAGCTGTCATTCGAATAACACCCACCGAGAAATGGCTTATTCAAATAAAGGTCATAATCCGCTTTTAAGAAGAAGAAAAAACCAGTAAAGAAAGTCTTAAAGTCGAGCGGGGCCGACTTTATGATACCCTACACCACTTTGCTAATTTATTAGAGCTCCACATAACAATTAAAAGTTTTTATGGGAGAATTCAATCATACACGCTATGATTATTATTGTAATTTAAAGTTCAAAAGACTAAATATGCCGAAGCATTTGTATCTTTTGAATTCGGACTTGTATTGCCCATTTGATATATATTTGGGAGCTATACATGCAAATCTGAACCGATCTTGATAAAATTTAGCAAATGTATTTCTTAGCTGTATTTGATATATTTCCCCAAATATTGTTGTTACAGAGTGCATATTACGGCTGCAGAGGACTAAAATAACAAATCGGATGAACAATATATATATGGGAGCTATAGCTATATCTGAACCGATCTTCACGAAATTTGACATACTAGCTTCTAGACTCAATTCGGTCGTAAGTGCCAAATTTCATCCCATTTGGACAAATATTAGACGTTTGATGCCCAATAAAAGGTAAATCGGACGAAGTTATGTATGGGAGATATATCCAAATCTGAACCTGATCTTGATAAAATTTGGCAAAGATATTTCTGAGCTGTATTTCATATATTTCCCTGAATATCGTTGTTACAGAGTGCATATTACAGCTGCGGAGGACAAAAATAACAAATCGGATGAACAATATATATATGGGAGCTATAGCTATATCTGAACCGATCTTTACCAAATTTGACGTACTAAGTTCTAGGCTCAATTCGGTCGCATGTGCCAAATTTCATCCCATTTGGACAAATATTAGACGTCTGGTGCACAATAAAAGGCAAATCGGACGAAGTTATGTATGGGAGATATATCCAAATCTGAACCTGATCTTGATGAAATTTGGCAATGGTATTTCTGAGCTGCACTTGATATATTTCCCCAAATATTGTTGTTACAGAGTGTATATTACGACTGCGGAGGACTAAAATAACAAATCGGATGAACAATATATATATGGGAGCTATGGCTATATCTGAAGCGATTTCGATCAAATTTGGCATACTTATTTTCAGGCCTAATTTGGTCGCAAGTGCCAAAATTCATCGCATTTGGGCAAATATTCGACGTTTTGTGCACAATATAAGGCAAATCGGACGAAGATATATATGGGAGCTATATCTAAATTTTGACCGATTATCCCCGATTTCGGCCGGGGTTCGGCCTTGGGCAAAAGAAATGATTTTTGCAAAATTTCATGTGGATCGGGTAATAAATGCGACCTGCATTTTGTTTACAAAAATACATGGACAGACGGAGGGCCGGACATGCATAAATCGACTCAGAATGTGATTCCATGCAGATCATCCAAAGGCATTATGGGTCTATCTCGCCTCCTTTTGCCTGTTACAAACAAATGCACAAAGACATGAGACCCTGACCACCTTGTGGTGTAGGGTATAATAAATAAAAACACTTCTGGAATTTTTCTGTTTTTTTTTTCTTAAATTTTAAAACAAATTTATTATTACAACAATAAACAATAATAATAACAACAAAGTGTGACATTTACTTATGGCTATGAATTAACTATTTTAGGTCCCTGACTATCTTTTGTTTGTTTTGTTTTGTGTTTTCTTGTTTGTCGAACTATTTGTTTTCTTTTTCTCGCTCAAATCCCTGGCTGGCTGAGAGTTCAAGATTAACTCTCAAAATTTACAAGGTGATAAAATTAAGACACTTCTTATCAAAAACGGTTGGGTGTTTGTTGTGAAATTTGTTGTTGTTGCGAGGGATGATTTTTCATTTCTGGAGAATAAATACTGTTTCGTGTTTTTAAGTAAACAGCAGCTAAATACTTATGCATTATGTTTGTGTATACGTCTGTATGTGTGTGTGAGAGTGTGTGTGCTCATTATCTTTAGAATACCGTTAATATCACAAAAGCATTTGCAACCTGTTTGTGTTTCCTTCTTCTTCTTCTCTTTCGTCTTCTTATAACCTAACTTTTTTTTCTTTAGCTTCCATCTTAACCTGAGAGTTTTTGAACTTTTTCCTTTGCTCCTTCTTCTCCATCTCCTTCCCCATCTTCTTCTACTTTTGCCTTCACCTTCACATCAGTCTTATCCAATTCCACTTTGGGCTTAACTAAATCATCTTTGGTTAGCTGCATTAATTCCTTGTCATCCACCCGAGAGCTATAGTCATTCCACTTTTGCAATGTGGACTCCGCGAATAGGACATAGAGCACGCCACTGCCAATCAGCATGGCGGCACAAATGAGGAACACATATTTCCAGGATTCAAAGGTTTGCTGGAAAAAAAATCGAAAAAAAAAATAATTCCGGGAAATTATTACAAAAATCCCCCATAATACCCAAGAAATACTTACATTCCCCAACGTCAACACACCCACAATATAGGGTGAAATAAAACCGGGTAGGACCCCAATCATACCACTAATACCCAAAACAATGCCGGCGAAATTCGGTGCTATATCCACAATGGAGGCCAGCGGTCCCGAAGACACCGCCCCATGGAACATCGTTGCCACGGTGAGATAAACAATGGCCGCCGTTGAATTGTGGCCAAAGTAAGCCAAGGCCACAACCACCAGACCCTTGACAATGCAACCTGAAAGGGGAAGAGATATTGGTCAGGATTAAAAAGAAGTCGAAAGGGAGCTACATTTTTTTCTAAACAAGCTACTCTACTGCAGCGGTATCTACGGGCCAACTACTTCACGAAAGTGGCCTCTTCTGGCCAGTTGCTCAACTCTTTAGTCTTTGAGGCTAGTCACTCTGCAGCAGTGGTCTCTGTGAGCAGGTAGACTACCTTAGTGGCCTATACTGGCCACCAATTTTCAGGCCACTTACTCTTCAGCAAAGGCTTATGTGACCAGTGACTCTTCAAAAGCGACCTCTACTAGTCAATTATTCTACTGCAGGGCTACTGTGGCCAGCTAAACTATACCAGTGGCTTTTACTGGGCAGTTCCTCTACTGCGGGGGCCTCTGAGGCCAGTTAGTCTTCAGCAGTGGCTTCTATGAACAGCTACATACAGCAGAGACCTATATAGCCTCTGAGGCCACTCGCTCTGCAGCAGCGACCTCTGTGGGTAGCTAGACTACGTTAGTGGCCTATACTGGCCAGCAACTTTAAATCAGGCCACTTAGTCTTTATCAAAGACCTCTGTGACCAGTGACTCTTCAAAAGCGAACTCTACTAGTCAATTTTTCTATTGCAGGGCTACTGAGGCCAGCTACTCTACACCAGTGGCTTTTACTGGGCAGCTCCTCTACTGCGGTGGCCTCTGAGGCCAGTTAGTCTTCAGCAGTGGCTTCTATTGAAGAGCTACATACAGCAGAGACCTATGTGACCTCTGAAGTCGATTACTCAACAGCAGTGACCTCTTCTAGTCAATTATTCTATACCAACTACTCTATGGAAAGGGTCCCTGAAATCATCTATTCCAAAGCAATGGACTCAGAAGTCATCCACTCCATAGAAGTCGCCTCTGAGGTGAGATACTCCACATAAATGGGGCCTGAGACCAGTAACTCTGCAACAGCGACATCTACTAGTCAATTATTATAATTCAGGGCCATCTACTCTATATCAGAGGCCTTTGTGCGCAGCTACTGTACATCAGTGGCCTCTGAGGCCAGTATGTCATCAGCAATGGCCTCTGACACCAGGTAATCTACAGCAGTTAACTCTGGTAGTCGAATACTCTATAGAAGTGGCCCCTTAAACCAGTAACTCTACAACAACGACCTTCAGTTATTCTAGTGCAGGGCCATCTACTCTACATCTGTGGCTTTTGGGAGCCGCTACTTCATATCAATGTCCTCTGAGGCCAGTTAGTCTTCAGCAATGGCCTCTGATGCCAAATACTCTACAGCAGTGACCTTTTCTAGTCAATTACTCTATCGCAGTGCCCTTTAAAGTCAACTACTCCTCGGAAAGGATCTCTGAAATTAGCTACTCCGCAGCAATAGTATCTAAAGTCAGCCACTGCATAGACGTGGTCTCTGTGGTGAGATACTCCTCAAGAATGGCCTCTCAGACCAATAACTCTACAACAGCGACATCTACAAATGAGTTTTTCTATTGCAGAGCCTTATATCAGTGGCCAATGTAGAGCAGCTTATCTACATGGCCTCTGAGACCAGTAAGTCTTCAGCAAAGGCCTCTAAGGCCAGGTACTCTACAGCAGTGACCTCTACTAGTCAATTATTCTATAGTAGTGGCCTCTGAGACCAGAAACTCTACAACACCGACATCTTCTCGTCAATTATTCAACTGCAGGGTCACTGAGGCCAATTACTCTGCAGCAGTGACCTCCATGGGCAGCTATTCTACATCAAGAGCCTCTAATGACCACAAACTCTACTACAGCGCGGCCTCTGAGACCAAGAACTCAACAACAACGACCTCTAGTAATCAATTATTTTACTGCAGGGCCGCTGAGGCCATCTATGCTACAGCAGTGACCTCTCTGGGCAGCTATTCTACATCAGTGGCCTCTACTGACCGCATACTCTACTACAGCGTTCTTTGTCTCGAGCTTCTCTGTGGCGTTGGCCTCTGAGGCCAGTTACTCTACAGCAGTGGCCTCTATTTGTCAACAACTCTTTAACAGGGGGCCTCTACAAGTCAGGTATTCTATTTCAGGTCTGTTGAGGCTATCTACTCTAGATCAGTGGCCTCCGAGGCCAGTCACTCAGCAGCAGTAGCCTCTACTTGTCAATTACTCTTTGACAAGAACCTCTACTATTCAGCTGCTCTATTACAGGGCCTTTGAGTCCAGCTAATCTACAAAAATGAGCCCTACTGACCAGATTCTCCATTGCAGCGTCCTCTTTGGGCAGCTACTCCATAGCAGTGGCACCTGAGGCCAGTTACTCTACAGCAATGCCCTCTACTTGTCAATTACTTTTCAACAAGGGTCTCTACTAGCCAGCTACTCTATTGCAGGGCATCAGAGGCTATCCACTTGACAGCAACGTCCTCTGAGCTGTACTGTACCATTACTGGGTTTCTGAGGCCACCTACTCTACAACTGGGACCTCTACTGACCAAATCTTTTATTATAGCGTCCTCTGTGGTCAGTTACTATGTAGCAGTGGCCTCTGAGATCAGCTACCTCTACAGCAGTGACCTCTATTTGTCAATTATTCTTTAACAGAGGCCTCTACTAGTCAGCTATTCTATTGTAAAGCTCCTAAGGCCTCTACTAATCATATACTCTACTACAACGTCCTCTGTGGCCATATACTTTATATCTGTGGCCTCTGAGATCCTCTATTCCATAGCAGTGACATCTATTGGTCAACTAAAATGAAAAAGTGAGATCCGTGGGCAGTCACACTAAAGCAGTGGCATCTACTAGTTAATTATTCCATCACAGTGGCCTCTGAACCTAGCAACTCCACAGAAGGGGCGCCTGAGGTCAGCTACCCCAGAACAATGGCCTCAGAGGTCAGAAATTCTAAAACAGAAGCTTCACTAGGCAATTACTCTATAGAGGGGCCTGTAATACCTCTGAAACCAGTAACTCTACAATAGCACCCTCTGCTAGTCAAATACTCTATAGCAGTGTTTTAAGCCAGCTACTCAACAGAAGAGGCCTCTGTAGGCTGCTACTCAACATCAATGCCCTCTATGGGTCAAATCTTAACAGTAGTGTCCTCTATGACTGACTTCTCCAACTTCTTCTTAATTTTCAAAATCATCCAGAGCTGGGAATGTGTTTTTCTACTTACAAATTGCCGTTGCCAACTTCCTTATATTTGTTCGGCTCATTTTCTCGGTCTTCAACAAATAATCGGCAAACAACGAAAAGACATAGGCGAAAATCATGCGCATCAAATGCGGCAAGCCGGACAAAATTCCAGTCTAAAAAAAATTAAAAGAAAAGAATTTCTCAAATATTTTCAACACCTCAATCACCCTTCCCCAACTTACCGCTCTAATATTCCAATTGTGTATGACCCTGAAATACGTTGGAGCCTGGGTCATGAGGGTAAACAAACCCCATATACCACCCCATTGGGCAATGACATTCATCCATACAGGTCTTGAGAGCAGAATAGCCTTCCACGGGGTGCCCACTGCCGCGGCACTTTGGACCGATGCACCCAGCGACTTTTCAATATATCTTACCTCCGATTCGCTAATTCGAGGATGTTGAGCTGGCGAATCATAGACAAAGAATAGCCATCCAAACCACCACACGGTACCCAAAATACCACAGAAATGATAGACCCAAACCCATGAGCCCCAATGCATGATATAACCGAAAAAGGGATAAAAGACAGCTATGCCCACCGAACTACCCAAATATGCGGTGACGAATTTACTACGTTCATTGGGCGGTATCCATTTGGCGGTCAGCACATGCATGGCCGGCCAGGCAAGGCCCTAAGATGGGAGTAAAATTTTACAACAATTTTATTTTGAAAACTGTACTTTTACTTACCGTCACTAGACCCTGCAGTACCCTCAGCACTATCAAGGCCCTGTAGTCCCAATGCGACACAGCCGGTATGAAGAAGCACATCCAACAGCCAATGGCATTTGCCAGACCAAACACCAATTTGGTGCCATATTTTTTGGCCAAAATACCACCGGGAATTTGGGTTACCCAATGGGCCCAGAAAAAGGAACCCAACACCAGACCCTGCTGATACTCGTTCCAATCGAAACGTATTTGTTCATCGGAAATGGGCTGAAAATTGTAAAAAAAATATTTTTTTGAAAAATCGGGTACTATCAGATGTTATCCGAATATTTTTCGCCTAAAAGTATGCAGCACACATTTATAAATCAGACAGGAAGAAAACATAGGCCACCTTACTACAGTTTTTGTAGCCCAGCGGTTATCTCCTAAGTAGAAAATAATCTTTATGAAGAAGTGAAGAAGAGAAAATTTATAGGTGACTGGATGGTAGTCTTAATGGACGGCATGAGCAGTGCCCTACTGGTCATATCCTCCATGGCAGGGGCCTCTACATATCACCTCCTCCTCTAAAGCAGTGGCCTTTAAATTAACAACAGCAGATACCACCTATCAGTTTCTTTACAGCAGTGACCTCTACTGACGAGAAACTCTACGCAGCGGCCCTACTAAGGACATATTTTTTTCCTAGAGAAAAGCTACTCTGCTGCACTACCCTTTACTGGCCACCTTCTTCATAGCAGTGGCATCTACATGTCAACACCAGCTACTCCGAAGAGCGGCCTCCGCTTGTCCGTTTCTTTAGAGCAGTGACCTCTACTAACCAGAAACTCTTCAGAAGCAGCCTCTACTGAGGACATATATTTTTCCTGACGAAAAGCTACTCTGCTGCAGTGGCCCCTACAGTTCGCCTTCTCAACTGCTCAGCGAAGCTTTGGCCTCTACACTCTACAATTGCGACCCCTACTGGTCAGTTTCTCTACAGCCGTGGCCTCCAATAACCAGAAACTCTGCAACAGTGACCTTCAGCGATCAGTAACTCTACTATAGTTACCACTTAAGCTAGCTACTCTACAGCAATGTCCCCTACCAGCCACCTACCTTACAGCAGTGGCCTCTTGTGGTCACCAGCTCTACAACAGTGGCTTTTTCTGTTAAATCTCTATAGCAGGGACCTCTGAGGACAACTACTCTACAGTATGGGCTTCTGAAATCAACTACTCTACAGCAGTGACCTCTCAACCCAGATATTCGACAACAATGGCCTTTAAGGCCAGCTTCTCTACACCAGTGAACTCTAATTTTCAGCTACTGACCAGCAGCGGCATCTGAAGTCAGCTACTCCAAAGACGTGACCTCTCAGACTAGCTACTCCATAGCAATGGCCTCTACTAGCCAATAGTCGACTATGGGACCAGATGCTCTACACCAGTCGCCTCTAAGGTCAGTTTTTTCACAGCAGTGACTTCTGAGAAATGCTACTCTACAACAATGCTCTCTACTAGTGAATTTCTTCATAGCAATGGCCTCTACTGGCAGCTACTCTACAGCAGCGACATCTTCTTGCCAGCTATTTTACTGCAGTATTCTTTACATGCCAAGCTACTCTATTACAAGGTTCTTCAGACTAGCTATTTCATATCAGGGTCTCTACTCGTCAGCAAATCTACAACAGAGGCCTCTAAGACCAGGCATTCTACAGCAGCGGACTTTCTTGGCCATCTACTCGCAAGCAGCGCCCTCTTATTTTAAATACTCTACACCACTGGCCATCTCAGGCCATCTACTTTACACGAGCGATCTCTGAGGCCATCTATTTGACAGCAGCTTCTGAGGACAGCCACTCTACGGCAGTGACCCCTACTAGTCAATTATTCAATGGCAATGCCTTCACTAGTTAGCTACACTACAGCACTAGAGACCTGTTACTCTACAACAATGCCCTCTACTAGTCAGTTACTCTATATCATTAGCCTCTATTGGTCTGATACTCGAAAGCTGTGGTATATGAGACCAAGTACTCTTTTGCCAGTGGCGTTTTAGTTCAGCTACCCTTCAGTCGGGGCTTTTGAGGACTGTTACTCCACAGCAGCGACTAATCAGTTATTCCACATCAGTGGCCTCCATTGGTCAGCTACTCGAAAGCTGAGGTCTCTGAGACCAGGTACTCTATTGCAGTGGCGTTTTAGTTCAGCTACCCTTCAGTCGTGGCCTCTCAGCCAGTTACTCTACAGCAGCGACCTCTAAGACCATCTAATTAACATCAGTGGCTTCTGAGGACTGTTAATTTACGGCAGTGGCCTCTACTAGTCAATTACTTAATAGAAAGATCTCTATTAGTCAACAACTCTACAGCATTGGAGATCGGCTACTCTATAACAATGTCGTCTACTAATCAGTTATTTCACATCAGTGGCCTCCATTGGTCAGCTACTCGAAGGCTGTGGTCTCTGAGACCAGCTGCTCTATTGCAGTGCCCTCTCAGTTCAGCTACTCTACAGCAGCGACATCTAAGACCATCTAATCGACAGCAATGGCTTCTGAGGACTGTTACTCTACGGCAGTGACCTTTACTGGTCGATTACTCAATAGAAAGATCTCTATTAGTCAACAACTCTACAGCATTGGAGACCGGCTACTCTATAACAATTTCCTCTACTAATCAGTTATTCCACATCAGTGGCCTCCATTGGTTAGCTATTCGAAAGCTGTGGTCTCTGAGACCAGCTATTATATTGCAGTGCCCTCTTAGTTCAGCTACTCTCCAGTTGTGGCCTCTCAGCCAGTTACCCTTCAGCAGCGGCATCTGAGGTCATTTATTCGACTGCAGTGGCTTCTGAGGACAGCTACTTTACAGCAATGGCTTCTACTAGTCAGTTACTCAATGGCAATGTTTCCACTAGCCAGCTATTCTACAGCAGTGGATATCTCCTACTCTCAAAAAGTGCCCTCTATTGGCCAGCTACTCGACAGCTGTGATCAATGAGACCATCTACTCTATAGCAGCAGCCTTTAAGGTCAGCTACTCTATTCCAGGCCACCTTTAGCCAACAAATATACACAGTGGCCTCTCGGGTAACCTACTTTACAGCAGCGACCTCTACGGCCAGCAACTCGACAGCTGTGGTCACTGAGACCATCTGCTCTATTGCAGTGGCTTTTGAGGTCAGCTACTCTATTCCAGGCCACCTTTAGCCAACAAATATGCTACAATGGCCTCTCGGGTTAGCTACTCTACAATAGCGGCTTCTACGGCCAGCTACTCTAAAGCAGAGTCCCCTATCTGCCAGCTTATTACCTCAGCGGCCTCTGTGTTCAGAAGAGAATATTTGGCGACATAAAGTAACCCGAAAAAGGGAAGCTTAAGGAGCTTCACAAGACCGAATCCTAAAAATCTTCGGGTCTTGGCAAGAGGTTTCCTAAAATTATACTTTAAAATCCACTGGTCTTTTTAGAGGCATCCAAAAACGGGAATTTTTTGCTCTCATTTTTTTTTTGTTTTTTTTTTTTTTTTCTTTTTTTCGGAAATGTTTTTTTAATATTTTTTTTATTTTCCCAATTTATCTAAACCCCCGAAAAAAAAAAAAACTCCCACGCACTACGAGACCCCCAAGTTCATTGTACAGATATTTAACGTTCCGATCCGACGCATGAATCAATTCGAAAATATTCACAAATTCTATCTATTTTAACCGGCATTTTAGCAAACCCATTGAAAAAAAAACACCAAAAAACAACAACAAATGCCGGTTTAAATTTAAAACTAACCCGCTCTCTCTCTCTCTCTCTCTATCGTTCTCTGCAGGCAAGATTGATTACAGATTACGCCGCTATGAGCTGGATTAATTCTATCACGTTAAATTAAATCAGCAACGCCACACAGCAAGCACTTGACAGGTGTTAGTGTGTGTGTCAAATGTCGTGGTCCACTAACTAAGTCTCTGCCACTCAAAACCCACTCACTCTGTGATTTATTCATTCATTCATTCATCTAGTCATTTTTCTAACCTCCAATTCATTGACTTACATGCGATGATGCATTCTTCAGATCTTCGGTTTCGTGTTGTTGTTGCAATTCGAAATTCTCATGCAAACGCCCGGAAGAAGAACTTATATTAGCAGCTATTTCCTCAAAAACGCCACTAGAGGCGACAGCAGCGGCGACTGTTGTTGTGCTGCTATTGCCGTTGATTTCACCAGACATTGATGACGCTGATCGCAATGATGCCGGCAATTCTGCCAATGACTCTTCGGACGGCAAGGAGGCGGCGGCGGTTGTAAGCTGTGATATCGTCTTACTTTTTGGCGAGACCACCATTTCCACAATTGTTATATTCAAATTGATGCGTATCATATAATTGACGGCAAAGCCGATGAATACCAAATACCAGAGGACGGTGCGAGCTTCGACTGGAAATAAAGGGGAAAAATAAAATAAAATTGATAGTGATTTTCTATATTTTTGGGAATAGATGCCCAGGGTATAAGATATTAGTTATAGCTAAGTTATAAAAGTTTCAACACCTGTTTTCAGCTGTCGGTTTAACACGAATTTGCCTAAAAGTATGCAGTACGAACAGAATTTAAGGATTTAAACTAATATAAAGGGCATATTAAGACGAAAGGCTTTATGAATGACTTGAAAGAAGTTTGTACACACATGAGAGGAGTTCCGTTTGGCGACCAACATGAAAAGGTCCTTTTAGACCCGGCGAAGGGAATCTTTATAGACCCTAAACTAAAACTCATTTGGAGTATTCATTGGCGACTTAAGGAGAGTCTTATTAAGGCAGCCTCTTTAGATGAACTGCAGGAATTCTTTATAATTGAGAAAAGCTAATGGCGGATGGCGTGAGTCTATACAGACGAGACCTGAAGGACCAGGGTGCAATATCCTAGAGCTAAAAGCTGACAGTCTCTAAAGACGAGAGCTAAAGGACGAGTATCGCCCAAATAATATCCAACTATTTTTCGGCTGACGCTGGTGCGGACGCCTTCGCACTCTCAGACAACAAATCTACAAGCTCGAAGTTAACCTCCACCTCGGACTCGAACATCGATTCTAGATCGTCTGCTACCAGTCGTAAGACAAAATGAACGGGAAATCTGAGAAGCGACAATGCTCTGACCTGGACCTTATTTGAGATGTGCCAAGTCTGAATGGGAGAGGTACCAGAAAAAGTGGTCCGATATATCCCATCTTCACGGCAGATCTTGAAGATAAAAGGATGCATATTTCGGATCTTATAATCGTTCTGGTTATTCAAAATGTTAACCCTTTGTTGGGGAAGGCACCAGAAGAAATGGTCCGATCTCTACCGTCTTTATAACAGTTCTTGCATTGATGGAAATATTGAGATGTGCCAAATCTGAATGCAATCGGATTTTAATTTCGGGTTTTATGAGCTTTGTGGATATTCAAAATTATGACCCTTTGTGGGGGAGGTACCAGAATGAGTGGTCAGATAAATCCGATCTTCACAACAGATCTTGTGTTAGTAGAAATATTGTGGTGTGTGTAATTTGAAGGGAGTTGGATGCTTATTTCGCTTTCTATGAGTGTTTTGTTTTTCAAAATCTTGAACCCTATGTGGGGGAGGTAACAGAAAAATGGTCCGATCTCTGTCATCTTTATAACAGATCTTGTGTTGATGGAAATATTGAGATGTGCTAAGTCTGAATGCAATCGGATTTTAATTTCGGTTTTTATGAACTTAGTGGATATTAAAAATTATGACCCTTTGTGGGGGAGGTACCAGAATGAGTGGTCAGATAAATCCGATCTTCACAACAGATCTTGTGTTAGTAGAAATATTGTGGTGTGTGTAATTTGAAGGGAGTTGGATGCTTATTTCGCTTTCTATGAGTGTTTTGTTTTTCAAAATCTTGAGCCCTATGTGGGGGAGGTACCAGAAGGAATGTTCCGATCTCTAACATCTTAAAAACAGATCTTGAGCTTATGGAAATATTGAGTTGTACTAAGTCTAAATGGAATCGGATGTTAAATTCGCGTTTTATGAGCTTAGTGGATATTCAAAATTTTGACGGTTTGTGGGAAGGGGTGGACCGATAAATTCCATCTTCACGCCGGACCTTGGGTTAATAAAAATAATATGATCTGTGTATTTTCGAGACAATCGGACTCTTACATGACATTTTATAAGAGTTATAATTATTCAAAATTTTGACCCTTTGTGGGGGAGGTACTTCATGGAGTGGACCGATATTGTCCATTTTCGCACCTGACCTAGCAAAAGTGTATATGTATACATATTTTTTGTATACATACAAACATAATACATAATACATACATAATATTTTATATTTATTATTATTTATACAAAAAATTATTTATTTATTATTATTATTAATTATTTATTTGATATATTAATTCATTTACCTATTTATATTTTATAATCTTCAATTATTATTATTATTATTATTATTATTATTATTATATTATTATTATTATTATTATTATTATTATTATTATTATTATTATTATTATTATTATTATTATTATTATTTTATTATTATTATTATTATTATTATTATTATTATTATTATTATTATTATTATTGTTATTATTATTATTATTATTATTATTATTATTATTATTATTATTATTATTATTATTATTATTATTATTATTATTATTATTATTATTATTATTAGTATTATTATTATTATTATTATTATTATTATTATTATTATTATTATTATTATTATTATTATTATTATTATTATTATTGGTATTATTATTGTTATTATATTATTATTATTGTTATTATTATTATATTATTAGTATTATTATTATTATTATTATTATTATTATTATTATTATTATTATTATTATTATTATTATTATTATTATTATTATTATTATTATTGTTATTATTATTATTATATTATTATTATTATTATATTATTATTATTATTATTATTATTATTATTATTATTATTATTATTATTATTATTATTACATATAAATATATATTACATTACATATAATTATATTAAAATAAGATTTTGTATTTATTATTACTTATATTATTATGTTATTCATAGTATTATAATATTTATATTTATTAGTACTTTTGTTATTATATATATTCTAATATTTTTTTATTATTACCTTTTGTTATTTATTAATTATAATCATTATTATATTTTTTAATTATTATTATTATAAAAAAATATTATTTATTTATTCTTTGATTTAATTTTCATATATAATTTATATTTTATATATTTATATTTTTATATATAACTTTTAATTTTTTTTTTTTTTTTTGTAATCTTCAATTATTATTTTTTTCAATTATTTTTAATTACCTATTATTATTTCAATTATTATAATTATGATTATTTTCATATATATTACTAACTATTTATTATTTATTTGCGCTTTTACCCATTATTATACATTGTATTTTATTATTTGTTTATTACTTACTATTTGTAATTTATTTTTAAATTATATTTTAATTTTTTTTTATTTTTTCAATTGTTTGCTTAAGCCCAGTGTCCTTTAATTACCCACTCCATAATCCATAATCCCAAAAACACTTACCGTTAGACATTTTGATTTGATTATTTGCAAATTCCCAATAGCTGGCTAATAAATTAGATTTGTGTTTTGAAACAAAATTTCTGATATGACTGGAATATTTTTCATTTATTTATTCGATTTTATCGGTCACACAATCTGGAACATTTAGTATTCTTCTTTTGTTTACGTTCCGCGGACGATCGTCAATATTTGAAAAAAATGCCAGTTATTTACAAGAGAAAATTAAAATTGAACTATTTGTTCAATACTATCCCGCTTTGTTACTTATCATCCGTTTAATTATTCAAATACGTTGTGGGTTGGTGGCTGGAACACAATCTTAAATTCGCCTACGATTGTCGATCAAATAATTATCATGATGACGCTGGTCTTGTGTCTTGGGTTTTAATTTAATTTTAATTATTATTTTTTTTCCTTTTTAAATTTTTCTCATTTGCCGTAGTAACGCCGTAAAATAGCCTCATGCAACAATCTCGAAATACTTAGATACGCCAACGACCGACCCAACCTTAGCAGGTGGTGCTGTGATGAAAGCTAGTTGCTGACTGAAAAACCCAGAAATCCTAACCCGCCAACCAGACACGGAGAGAGAGCGCCCGAAAATAGTTACTAGATCTGTTCGTTTTGAATATCCCGACTAGAATGCAATCCATTTGCCATGGATCTGCTTAATAACACCATAACGAGCGTTCTCCCATGGAACAACAAAATCAACGGCAACAACAACAACAAATATTTGTGTGGTTTATTATTATTATTGTTGCTGTTTGTTTGGCAGTGATAACACAAAAACGGCAGCAGCAGCAGCGCTCGGCTTTACTTTCTTCCAGTTCGTTGTGATCGCCTCTCTCTCTCACACGCTTCGTATCTATGTTAGGAAATTTTACTAGGTTTTTGTATGTAATAAAAGTTAAGAACAACAGCAACAACAATAACACAATACGCTCGTAGGCTATATTTATATCTGGGCTTTTTATAGATTTATATCCAGCCGCGACCAGCCGTAAACAACGTGATGAGAACACGATGCCAGTGATGGATGGATAGGTTCTAAATTTAAGACGCCCTTATCATTTGGCAAACAGACAAAGATGATGGGATGAAATCACTTAATATTGACACATACAATATCGGATCAGATTGGTTTGGTTTAGTGATACACAGCTACATGGAAATCGTCCAATGCTTCACTCGGAGATGTTAGATTCATTGTGTTCATCCTAGCAAGTAAAAAAAGAAATAGCAAGTAAAAAAAGAGCTAATGGGCCGAACTTTTTATACATTCCACCGTTCGGAAGGAATTTGAAAATTTAAAAAAAAAATCCATTAAAAAATACCGCTCAAATGAAATCCTTTATATAGAGGCTATACAAAGACGTGGACCTGCATAGACAATTTTCCGTCATAGGCTGCAGTACCCTTTACGAAGTTCAAATACGAAAACTGAAAGAATTCCCTTAAATAAATGTCTCTAATATCATCAAAATCCCGAAAATCGGGAGATTCCGTTGTATGGGGCCTATACAAAGACCTGGACCTGCTTAGACAATTTTCCGCCATAGGTTGTAGTACCCAGTAAGAACTTCAAATACGAAATTTGAAAGAATTCTGTTAAAAAATGTCCTACAATCATCTAAATACCGAATAAAGGAAGGTTCCCTTGTATGGGGGCTATAGAAAGACGTAGACCTTAATAGCCAATTTTCCTTCATAGGTTAAAGTATCTATTACGAACTTCAAATATGAAATTTGAAAGAATTCCGTAAAAAAGTGTCGCTACTATAATCAGAATACCGAATAAAGGGAGGAACCGTTGTATGGGGGCTACACGAAGAGGTGGGCCTGCATAAACAATTTTCCGTCCTAGGTTGTAGTACCCATTACGAACTTCAAATACGAAATTTGAAACAATTCCGGTGAATAATGTCGCTAATATCATCAAAATACCGAATAGAGGGAGGTACCGTTTGAATGGGGGCTACACAAAGACGTGGACCTTCATAGACAATTTTTCCGTTTAAAAATGTCGCTAATATCATCAAAATTCCGAATATCGGGAGATTCCGTTGTATGGAGGCTATACAAAGACGTGGACCTGCACAGACATTTTTCTGTAGTAGGCTGTAGTATCCATTACGAACTTCAAATACCCAATTTGAAACAATTCCAGTGACTAATGTCGCCAACATCATCAATATTCCGAATATCGGGAGATTCCGTTGTATGGGACGGAACCTTAATAGACAATTTTCCGTCATAGGCTGTAGTACCCATTACGAACTTTAAATACGAAATTTTAAACAATTCCGAGGAATAATGTCGCTAATATCATTAAAATATCGAATAAAGGGAGATTCCGTTGTATGGGGGCTACACAAGAACGTGGACCTGCATTGACAATTTTCCGTCATAGGATGTAGTATCATTTACGAACTTCAAATACGAAATTTGAAAGAATTCCGTCAAAAAGTGCCGCTAATATCACCAAAATACCGAATAAAGGGAGGTACCTTTGTATGGGGGCTACACGAAGACATGAACCTGCACAGACCGTTTTCTGCCTTAGGCTGTAGTATTTATTACGAACTTCGAACACGAAATTTGAAGCAATTCCGGTGAAATATGTCGCTAATGTCATCAAAATACCGAATATCGGGAGGTACCGTTGTATGGGGGCTACACGAAGACGTGGACCTGTACAGACAGTTTTCTGTCTTAGGCTGTAGTATTCATTACGAACTTCAACTATGATATTTGAAAGAATTTCGTTAAAAAATTTCGCTACAATCATCAAAATACCGAATAAAGGGAGGTACCATCGTATGGGAGCTACACGAAGCCGTGGACCTATACAGATAATTTTCCGTCACAGGCTGTAGTATCCATTACGAACTTTAAATACGAAATTTGAAACAATTCCGGTGAAAATTTTCGATAAAATCATGGAAATACCGAATATCTGGGGTTACCTTTTAATGGTTGCTATCCTAAAACCTGGACCTATATAGACAATTCCCTTCCCGGGCATAAAGTACTCAAAGGGAACTCCTTGTGTGGATTTTCAGGCAATTTCATTGAAAAATTTGGCTACAATTATCAGAAAACCGAATATCGGGAGGAACCTTTATATAAGGGTTATACGATATCGTGGACCTATATAGACAATTCTCTTCGAGGCGGCTAAAGTCCTCAAAAGGAACTCCTTGTGTGGATTTTCAGGCAATTTCATTGAAAAACTTGGCTACAATTATTAAAATACCGAATGTCAAGAGGAAACTTTATATAAGGGTTATACGATATCGTGGACCTATATAAACAAATCTCCTTCAGGGGGTAAAGTACTCACAGAGAACTCCTTGTGTGGATTTTCAGGCAATTTTATTGAAAAATGTATTTAAAATCATCGAAATACCGAATATCAGGGGGTAACATTGTATGGGGTCTATACGATATCGTGGACCTATATACACAAATCTCCTTCAAGGGGTAAAGTACTCACAGAAAACTCCCTTTGTGGATTTCAGGACAATTCCATTGAAAAATGTGGCTAAAATCATCGAAATACCGAATATCGGGCGGTACGATTGTTTGGGGGCCATACGATATCGTGTACCGATATAGTCCATCTTATAAATTTACCTGCCTGCATACAAAAGACAGATCGGTGCAAAATTTTAGATTTCTATCTTTATTATTCGTTTTGGCTCTGGCGTGATTACAACAGACGGGACTAAATCTTAGTTCCTAGTCTTACGCTGATTTTACGCTGATCAAGAATATCTGTACTTTGTTGGGTCTAAAATTATTATTTCGATGAGTTACAAACGGAATGACGAACTTAATATTCCCTCCATATTATGTATGGTATACCCTCCATCACACATAAGATGCAGGGTATGTTAAGTTCGTAATTTCGTTTGCAGAAGAAAGGATTTATGGAGGGAGTCCATAACAGCATCAGGGGAGTCGGTAACTGCTTCACTCAATGACCTTTGTGTCCATCCTAGGAAGAATTCAGTTGTAAGGGTTTGGAGATATAGAGAATGAAAAGGAATGGTTTATCAGAGAAGTATAGTTACCAGAATGGTCTGCTTAACCAGGGAATGCTTTTGCCACACTTCAAGTTGATGATGATGGGATCTATGTTTGAGAAGGTTAAGGTCGCAATTTCCCACCTGCCAAATGTCGCTTATTGGATAACATCCCAGCTAACACTTTTTTCCGAGGGTTCTGATCATGGTGGAAGAATACAGATAGTCGCATCGACAAGGCTGCTGGGACAATGAACTGTCAAACCAATTTTGGAATTGGAAAATTTTGAATGAAAAAATTATGAAAAAAATCGGAGGAAAACATAAAAAATCGACTTATTTTTTGAAAAAATATTTTAACAAATTTTGACATATCTATTATTCTGTTCCGGAACCTGCAAAAATCTACTCGATATTATAAAAGGAAAATCGTATAAAAACTTTTACTTTCTTGCCGTTCTGGAACAGACCAAATGTTCGTCCCCAAGCGTTGATGCATCTACCTGTATTTTTTTATCTGGTTCTAATTTTAGATTCTTTTCCGAGATTTCTAATCCTTTTTTTTAGAAATTTGCCTATTTCCCTAAATTTCTTCTAAAAATTTTAACGATTTCTCTTCCTCGCCACTTTAAGTTCTTGAACTTGAATTCCAAACAATTTAAAATCAATTGAATTGGTACTGACCAATAAAATTGTAAATGTTTGGTCTTTCGTTGAACACGTGTTCCCTTAAATCATATTTTTACATAATATGCCGATAACTTTCCCTTCTTCCGTATTCAAATCGTATAGGGACGAGGAATGTATATGGTCAAACCAAAAAAAAAAAGAATTATAAAGATAAAACTCAACAAGAAAAAAGGTGTAAATATTAAGATAAAACCAATTGATTGATATCTCAGCACAGGTAACAAGAATTTTTTTATCACAATTATCGGGGTATTTTTTTAGTATGGCTACACTTCTTGTTTTATGATACATTTTCTCCCCCACAAGACTAGACAGATAAGCAGCGAATTCCATATTGAAAAAATATTAATCAAATCTACAAAATTGTAAATCAATACCTAGAGACATTTCTCATTATTTTTTGTTTTTTTTTTTTTGTTTGTTTTAAATATTCACATTTATTTTTCGTTCCGCCAAATTAGAAATAACTCAATTAATCATAATATCCAAATGGATAGGTTAGTAATATAATTGTTTTTAATTTATATACTAGGTATATTATTTATAATAATAATCATATAAATGTATATAACATAGATGTATGTATGTATATTAATTTTGTATTGTAATGTGTTTGTGTGTGAAGGAGGGGGAGGAGTCTGTAGTTGTGGTAGTAGTATTAGTTTACATCCGCAATAGCTATTCCAACAAAATGAAGGGAAAGAAAATGATTTGATAAAGTTAGTTTGCAAAAGAAGATCATTGGGGTACTCTCTAGACAAAAGCGGTTTTGCAGGTCTTATATCAAAATAGCTATTCCAACAAAAATAAAAGAATAGAATCCATAAGACAAATAAACGATCAATGGGTCCTCTGTGGACAAACGATGTTTCGCAGATATTATATCAAAATCTTCAAGGGGTCTTCTAAAGAACTGCAAATCTTCCAGAGGTATTCTAAAAACATAAACTTTTCTTTACATCCACAATAGCTTTTCCAACAAAAGTGAGATTAAAATAGAAAATAGGAAAAGGTAATTTGCAAAAAATAAATAGAAGATCATTGGGGTCCTCTGTGGACAAACGATGTTTCCCAGATCTTATATCAAGATCTTCAAGGGGTCTTCCAAAAAACCCGTGAATCTTCTAGAGGTATTCAACAAAAATAAACTTTTTTTTTACATTCGCAATATATTTTCCAACAAATGGTCTTTTCCAGAACCTGCAAGAATCTAGTATTTTTGCAATATTTTTCGATATCGCAATGGGAAAATCGGCTTTCGTTGTAAAAATGTTTATATTCTTGCAGGTTCTGGAACAGACCAAAAATTGGAATGGAAAATGACTTGAAAAATGTCTTCAATTTCCAAAAGATAAATAGAAGGTCATTGGGGGTCCTCTCTCTGTGTGAAGAAAAAAGTTTATCAAGTTTATCATATCAAGATCTTTACATCCGCAATAGCTTTTCCAACAAATGGTCTGTTCCAGAACCTGCAAGAAACTAGTATTTTTGCAATATTTTTCAATATCGTAAAGGGATCGGAAATCGGCTCTTAAAATTTTTTATATTCTTCCTGTCCTGGAACAGACCAAAAATTAGAATGGAAAATGACTTGAAAAATGTATTTAATTTCCAAAAAATAAATAAAAGGTCCTTGGGGGTCCTCTCTCTGTGAATAATCGAAATTTTGTAGATCTTATATCAAGATCTTCAAGGGATCTTGTAAGACCGTCGATCTTCTAGAAGTATTTCACAAACAGAAGACCTTTTACAGACAGAAGCTCTTCGAGAAGACATCTGTATATAAAATACTGTCTAAAGATCTTCTATAGGTGGATAAATCTTTCGTTTATATAAAACTTTCTATATTTTAGAGGCCTTGCATATACTAGCTTATATATTAGGGGACTTATATGGATAGGAAACCTTCTCTAGGTCTCCAAAAAGTAGGAGTTTTTTAGGTTTTCTGCACATAAAAGAAAATCTAGAAAATCTTTTAAATACTTTTGTAATTTGCATAAGAAAAATATGGAGGTAAATGGTCTTCTATTAGCAAAAGATCTTTATATTTTCTAGAGATATTAAAGGGGTCTTCCACAAAAAGGTGGAGCATCTAGAGCGCTTCTTTGGGAAGGCAGCAAACTATAGGTCTTCTACAGACCAAAGACATTTTGGAAAGAATTTATAGTTAAAGACATTGTATAAATAGAAAAACCTTCTACGTAAAGGTCTTCTATAGGCAAATTACCTTATATTATTCTATACATAAAAGAGCTTACATATTAGAGGTCTTGTGTAGATAGAATACTCCCACTGGGTCCCAAAAAGACAAAAGAGAGAATTGTTAAGACTTCCTTGTCATAAAATTAAAAAGAAAATCTAAAGGCATTTTTAAATAAAGGAATTGTTCTACAACTTTTTAGATATAACAAATTATATAAGTCTGCTAAAAGAATTACATCTTTCACAGACCTTATCTATTTATCAATTACAGAAGAGCGGAAGATCTTATATTTATAAAAGAAGATCGTTCACATATTAAAAATCTCAAAGGTATTTTTAAAGAAGACCCATAAATGATTCCCTATTTAGATACTAGCAATTTAAATAAAGAAGTTTTGAAAAATAATATCTTTTTTGGGGAATAGCTATGGGGCCAGTCGAAATTCACACACAAGGGGGGTCATAAAAGAAACCTTTTGAGAGGACAAATGGGGAAAAATAAAGAAACCCAAAGTCTTTACTTATCTTCTCCCCTTTACCCATAATACAAAGTTTTCTTTCATAAAATTTCCTGTGAGCGATTTCCAACCTATATAAACTATTTAAGTGGTTATATGTATATATATATGTGTGTGTGTCTGGATGTCGATATTACAAAAAAATCATATATATCATTATGTGAAAAATTAAAAATGAGAATAAAAATTATTAACGTAATTCCAAGTTATACTAGATTTACATATACATTAACGACAAATTGTTACTTCTTTAGTTTTTTTCTCTTCTTTCTGTGTTTTGTTTTTTTTTTTCTCGTTTTAGAGCCTATTCAGCTTCACTATTATCTAACAAAGAAACGTTTAATGGAAATCGACCTGCCTCCCAGGCAGCTTCCCATAAACGACTCCACATTCATCCCACATTCTCGTACGACATGGCAGGACGATCGCTTGTCATGCCACCAGCTGTTGTGGCGGGATTACCGAAAATCGATGGTGGATGATGTTGCGTTTGCTGTTGGTGATGCTGGGATTGCTGTGGCTGTTGGGCATGCGGATTGTGGGCATGATGTTGTTGGCCGCCAGCACCACCGCCACCTCCGCCGGGCTGTTCGCTGCGTATCTGAGGCAATGGAAACATTATGCCGTGTGTCATCTGGGGATGATGTAAATGTTGTTGCTGTTGTTGTTCATTGGAAGGCGGTGGCGGAGGTGGTTGCTGATGGGCACTCTGATGCTGTTGATGGGCAGCCTCAACATGTTTGCGCTGATCGTTTTGTTGGTGGACCTTTTCGGCGGCCGACTCTTCGTATTTCTTTTGCAGCTGGAACAGGGTGTGGGGTATTTGTTGTGGAGCATGCAGCGATGCCACACTGCCAGTGGCAACGGCAGCAGCTGCGGCCGCCGCCGCTGCCACCTGTTCCCTTGAATGCTGCTGCACACGATCCACTTGTGATTGGGGTGAGGGTTCCTTCTCACTCTTATCGTATTTCTTTTGCAATTGATACATGCTGTGCGATAATTGGGTATGTTGCTGTTGTTGTTGTGGTAGCTGGATCTTCTCATTGGGTGTTGTGCTGCCCGACGATTTGCCCGAACTAGATGAAGATTGTGCATGAGTATGATTGGTTTTCTCCTGTTTTATGGGCGACTTTTTCTGATAACGTTTCAGCACCTGGATCAATTCGCTCTTCACATCCAGGCGTATATCCTCGGGTACCCGTTTGATTTCCTCGTAGAGTGATAGCAGAAACAGCTTATCGGGATCACGGCTCTTTCGTTTTTTACTCTTTTTCGGAAAGGCATCCTGCATAAACTGCAACAGTTTCTCCTCAAATGCAGCCTCTCGGTGGAAAGCTGCCGTGGCCTGGTGTTGGCGCCGCATCAAGTGTGGATGTAGACCCCCTGAAAAGGCAGGATGATTAGGCAAAATATTATGCTGTTGCAATGTACCCGTAGAATTTGAATGATCACCATTTTGGCCAGTCATTTGCGATACATTGGCCTGACCGAAGGGGCCAGCCTGGGTATCGGCATGATTTGAAGAGCCAGGAGCATCATTCGTCTCACCATCATTGGTATGATGATCTTGCTGCTGTTGCTGCTGGGCATGTTGTTGTTGCTGCTGTTCCTTTTGGTGTTGCATATGCTGTTGGCCACTGGACACAGCGGCGGCGGTGAGTATGGCATCACAAAAATGTTCGGGGACATAATCAAAGCCGGTTATGAAATTTTCCGGTTTCAATTCGCCATTCATTTCTTCGTAAAAATATTCTGTGCCGACAATATCAATAATATCATTGTCCTCTTGGCTCAGTTCTATGCCGGGTGGGGGGGAGCCACCGGCCATTTGGCAACGTTTTAGTTCGGCAAGCTTTTTGCGTGTCGTCAAACGCATGTCACGCCAGCACTGCAAAAAAAAGATGATAAGTTATATGACTCTCTTCATTTCTGGGAAGAACTCACCTTTTTCCATTGTATGATGGTCTTTTTGGGACCGATTCTATTCAAGGCCTCCTGTATCTTTTCCCAATACCATTCTTTCTCTTTTTTCCCCTCCATGAATTTCGTCTCCCTCAACAGGGTAATGAGCATTTTCTTCTGGGGCTTTGTGACACGATCCTTGAATAAAATATTGAAAACCTTGAATTAAGAAATTAAAGAAATGGCAACAAATCGGAAAAATATTCGCACACACAAACAATATTGGAGTTTTTAACAAAGAAATAGATGCACGGAAATGGTTGCGAATTGGGGGCTTTCTAAGTAAGTCCTTTATATGTTGTTGTTTAAATCGGTTGCTGCATGAATTTGCTATAGCCAATTGCACACCCTTAAAATATCTCTGTCAAATTCCAAGGCGCCAAGAAACTTCCTGGCCAAACCGTTTCTCCCTTTATACTTCATTGGTAATTAGTTTATATTTTTAAATAAAAAAACACTACTCTACAATACATATGTTGATCTTTTTAAGATAAAGTTATTTAAAACATTTAACTTATTAATTTTTAATTGAATTCCATCAATTCTAACGTTTATGACAACTGTCTGCCTAGTGTAAAAACGCCCATTCACTCTCCTCTAAAAACTAGCTCTTTCTCTCACACAAATTCCCTACGCTCAAGGTTGCCATATGAAACATACGAAGTTCTGCTTCTTCTTTCTTTGTAATGAACTGTTATTGATATCACACTACACCTATTGTCGCCTAAACGGGGCGGCGGGCAGAGGTACAACATCAAAGAACGACGTCTACGACGACGACGACGGCGACAACGAAACCAACCATTTCTTTTGCATTTATTTCTTGTTTAATTCCAAACAAAACATTAATTTCCATTCACTAAACTCACCATTTTGGCAAATTATTAATAGTTTTCTAACGGAACGAACAATTTTCGGTGAATTTAGCAAAACCGAAAGTAAAGAAATTGTTGAATTTTTTTTTCCTTCTCAGACCAAACGCTGAATTTTCTCACTGTTGTTCATTTTCTTCTTGACTACTGACAACGACCGAACGACGACTGACGAACTGACTGTGACTGCTGTTGTGTCTTGTCGTCGTTCTCGTTTATTTTTGTGTGCTACATTGTCGGGCCGTCTCACTCGCTCACACTGCAAATGTCAAAATCGTTGTTGTTAAATCACAATGACCCAATGGTAACTTATTGGGGGGCTGGTTATTTACAGGAAACTTTTAATATTTTTGGCGTATTTCAGATTTGGATGTAAAAATGAAATAATTTTATATTTTATTGATAACAAAATTTCGAAATATATTAAAAATATGGTCTTTTGGTCTTTGTTTTACAAAACATAGTTTTTGACTTATGTTGTATTCGTCTCTAAAATTTATAGACGTGGAAAGCGTTAATAAGAAAGGTTGAATTTTTCAATTTTGGAAAAAAACGGAAACAGTTAAATAAAAATTTGGGCATTAATGAATTTATTTTTCGAATTGTTGCTAGATATTTTAATCGGAACTTTTCCGTTCTTATTTTCTGTGGCGCTTTCCTTAAATAAAGAAAATTTACAATAATTTTTCAAAAATTATTAAAATTTGGGACATATTTTTAAAAAATTCAACATATTAGCTGAAAAAAAGTAAAATAACAGTTATTTATAACTAATAATTTATTTGTATTGCTTATATGCCATTAGAGGAAAGTATATAGGGGCCAAATTTGTAGGTCTATCCCCAAAAGTACCGAAATACCACAGAATAATTTTGGAAATTGTGGCTGAAAACTTTAAAAATCGAAAATGGAATCATGAGTAGGGTAATTTTGAAATAACCAAAAGTTTTGGAAAAAATACACATGAATTGCGTTCGCATTCACTTTCGAATTGCCATACAGTAACAGATCCTAAAACCATCCATTTGGTGGGAGAATACAAATCTTACAATACGTTTTCAATAACCCATAGAAGACATCAGCTGTTTTAACAGGATATGGGCAGACAGGCAGCTAGAGCCTTGATTTACATTATTCATTTCTACTTATTTAAACCTTCATTCAAAACCAATTAAAACATGAAGAAAATACAATAATTAAACTCTTAAATTATTACTTTATTTAAAAAAAAACAGTGCTTATATCTACATGCATATGCAACTTAACATCAAACAAAATGCTAATAATACTTCTCTATTTACGCCCCAGTTTTGGATTTACGGTACGTGTAACAGCTGAAACGCCCTCTTCGAATTTGGTACGGAACAATACGTTGGCATTATTGAACATACCATCCTTAAGCGACACAATTATAAATTGCGAGGCGGTGAAATGTTTCTTTAACATATTGCCAATATTTTGCGTGTGCGACATATCCAAAGCAGCATCAACTTCATCGAGGATATATAAAGGAGCGGGGGAGAATTTCAACATAGCCAAGACCAATGATAAGGCTACCAGCGAACGTTGACCACCCGACAATTCACCCAGAGATTCTTTCCACACGCCATTGAAGCCCACCTTAATTTCCAAACCGGATAGATGACCATTTTGTTTAACTGGATTCAGACGAGCCTGGGCTCCCTGCAACAATGTACTAAAGATGCTGCTGAAATTTTCATCAACAACCTTCCAGGCTTTTTCCACTTTTTCACGTTTCTTTTCGTCCATTTTGCAGATGATGTCCTTGATCTTCTCCTTGTCTTGCTCAACGATTTTCTTGCGACGCATTGTCTCTTGATATTGCTCCTCTTCGCGTTCCAGCAACACCATGGCCTTGAGATTAATGTGACGTTCCATTTTCTCTTTTTGTTCAATCATTGACGACAATTTTTCGCCAGCTTCTACGGGGTTCTCTTTGGAGTAGTCGTAGCGGGTATTTTTTGTACCAAAGAATTCCTTGTCTTCATTTATCCAGGGATATTTGCTTTCAAGATTTTCCAATTTCTTTGTCGAGTCTTTGCTGTCGGATCGTACCTTGTTTACCTCATTCTCTCGTTTCTTTATGTCCAAGGTAAGCTCTTGGTTGTGTTTTTCCAGCCTATCTCTCTTTACATACATGTTTTTCAGTTCTTTATTTTGCGAACTTATTTTATCCTTTTGATCCTTAATGCGTCGTCTCAGCTGGGCCACCACCTCGGCAGCTTCTTTAGATTTGGCCCGCATTTCTTCCAGTCCCTCCTTAAGGCTGGCAATATTAGCTTCTATAGTGGCACGTTGCTCCTTGGCACTGGCGATATCCTTTTGCAAGGCTTCAATTTCCATTTGCAATGTTTCATAACCCTGTTCATGTTTCTTCCAGTTGGCACTGGACTTTTCGGCTTTGATTTTGGCCTGTTTCATGGCCTCGGAGGCTGCCTTTAATTCGCGTTCACGAAAACCTTTGGCGTCAGCCAATTTTGCTTCAATATCCTTGGCCTTTGCCTGTGAAGATTTTTGTGTTTCTCGCGCCTTTACGAGATCTTCCTCAAGAGATTTTATTCTCTCCTTAAGTGACAGTATTTCCTCCTGATGTTGCTGGAATGTTGTTTGTCCCAAACGTTGTTTACAGGTGTTGATCTCATGCTGTCTCAATTCCAAGGTTTCTTTAAGTTTATTATAAGTTCTAGCTTTGTTCTCCACATTATTTAAATCTCTATCGATTTGTTGCATTTCTTGTTTGCGTGCTCTTATTTCCCTTTCCAAACGTTTAATTTCGGCAAGTTCTTGTAGAATGTTGCCACCCTTGGGTTTGGAACCACCAGACAATGTACCCTCCGGATCAACAACATCACCTTCCAATGTCACCGAACGACAACGTACCTCACGATGATAGGTTACCTAAAAAAGAAGAATTAATAAAACAATTTTAGGGATTTTAGGTATTTCTCCTTACCTGTTTGGCCACATTCAAATCGCGACAAACTAAGGTATGACCAAAGACAAATTTCATTACTGGGTCATAGTAGGGATCATAACGTATCAAATTCAATGCTGAATCCACATTTTCCTTGCCTCCTATACGTTGGGCAGCCTCCACAACTTTGGCGCTAATGGGATGGGATGAAATTTTGTTTATGGGTATAATTGTGACACGTTGTTGCAGCTGGCCCTTCTGTAGAATTTTCTTGCTGGTAACATCATCGTCAGTAACATGGCTGTATAACTAAGGAAATACATACAAAAGTGTGAAAAATAGACTTTGGAGTAAATTCCATTTCCTACTTACACTTCCCGATGCAGTCATCATCAATGCCAAGCAATTTTTTTCATCAATGACATCAAACAGTTTGCCCACCATTCCACGTACTTTACTGCGATCAAAGCCCGGTTCAGGATCTCTATACTGTAACTCATAACGATAGGCATTGCGACGATCCAACTGTTGTTGTAGTTGTCTAATTTCATTATGCAGAATATTTTTACGTTCCTGCAGACGTTCAAATGCCCCATCTTCATAATCGATGGATTGCAGTTTTTGTTCTATACCCTGGATTTCGATGGTGAGATTGTCCAGTAGATTTTTATCCTTGTTATAGGCTGCATCATTGGATTGGGTTTCGCTTTCCTTTTGCTTCAAAACAGTACGACAATGGCGTAATTCCATATCCGATGTTTTTATGGTTGTCTGAGCTTCACTCATTGCCTTTTTGGCCTCTATAAAATGAGAAGAAACAACATTAGAATGCACTTCCACATTAAAAAAAAACTACTAACGCATTAACTGATCCTGCAGTGATGAAGCCTGACCATCTTCACTCGTAGTCAGGCCCTGAGTAACGGCCTCAAATTTCTTTTGTGCCTCTTCATAGGCCAGAGCATCCCGTTCATCAGCTTCCTTAAGCCCTTGAAATAAATCCTTCACCTTGGCCATCTCAGACTCTTTGGCTTTTAGACTTTTCTCATCGTCGGCCATACTTTTTAACAGTGCCTTCAGTTTCTTCTCTTCCTGATCGACGGCTCCCTGGCCAGCCTTGAGATTACCCGATGATTTACCTTCATGTTGCAATTGGACTTCTAGTTCCGACTCGATTTGTTTTAACTCCCCACCACTTTCAGTATCAATTTTTTGTTGCAATTCCTTGGCAGCCTCTGTCAATTTCTCCCGTTCAGCATCATTTTCAACAATATTTTGTTTGTCCGCCTCAATGCGTTTCGTGAGTTTTTCAATATTAGCCTCTATTGATTTTAGAGCCTCATTATATTTCAACCAGCGATATGAAATATGGATTCTAGTCAGATACTCAATATCACGACATATTTTTTGAAAGTCCATATAAGCCGCTCGTTCTCGGCGCAATTTATCCAGTTTCGGCTCGACTTCTTCCTGCAGCAGGGTGTTGGTTTCCCGCACTTTGGCATCTTTCTTTTCAATCAACTTGGTGGTGGCTTCACGTTTTGTTTCATACATACTGGTGCCAGCAGCCTCCTCAATCATAGACAAAATCTGCAAAATAATTCATGACAAAATGTGTAAATTCTAATAAAAAATTATTTCTTACCTCATGTGGTTTCATATTCAACACCTTGGTAATGCGTCCCTGCATAATCAAGAAATTCGGATTGTTCACATTCAGCTGAACGGAACAAAAGAAATCCGACACCTTTTTGTTCTGTACCAATTTGCCATTAATTAAATATTTGTTCTTGCCGCCAACCACAATTTGTCTAGTTACCGATATCTCACGGCACTTTTCATAACCCAAAGGACATTGGTTGGGATTTGTGTTGTCAAAAATCAATGTAACCGTCGCCTTGGTTATGCCAGCCTGACCACTCTTGTACACCAAATCTTGCAGGGAAGCTGCTCTCACCTGGCCCAAATTCATAATGCCCAACACAAAGCAGATTGAGTCGAGTATATTTGATTTGCCGGTTCCATTGAGACCAGTAATTGCTGTAAATTCTGGATCGAAACCATGAATTTCTGTGCGACGACCATAGGATTTGAAGCCATCGATGACCACGGATTTGATGTACATGTTAAATTAATTCTTTTATCAGTAGTCCGTTGGAATTTAAAAAATGTTACTCTGCGTTTCTATTTTGCTTCTGAAAAAATTACTTGTTTTCCATAAAAGTTTAGAGACCAATTTTTATCCTGAAATTTCCACTGAAAGAGCTGTTTTCTTGGTATTGACAATTGCTTCACTATTTCTTTATGTTGGAAGGCAAAATATTCTGTTTTTTAATTCCTTTAGTCCTTTAGTGGAAGAAAAGACGCGCTACAACAAATAGCGTCCATTTGTGAGTACAGAGTCGATTTAATAATATTTGCCGTGTTGGACAATCACTTTCAAATGATAACATATGATGTTCACCTTTAGTACTGGATTTGCATTAAAAACATGAATTTATTGGAGCAAACATTTTTTTTACCAGATACTTTGAAGAACAAACCCCACAATTCCATAAGTAAACTAGGTTTTATTTCATGAATTCCATATTTAAAAATTGATTTGCTGCTTTAGGTATTCACTTTGAAATGGTAACATATTTTTGTTTACATTTACCGCCAGAGGTGGAAAATTGAAAAGGGTATATAAACATATTTTTCAATTTATCTATAGAATAGGTTTAATAAAAATATAAGAAATAATTTTACATAAAATAAACTTTTGGGCCAAAATCTGGAGGGAATGCTTTAAGGAATTTGTTTTACCTTAAAATATAGCCACTCTACTTTCTTGTGGCATATTCGTATATTTTACATACCGAAAGTTTTGTGATAAAAATTTAGTTGTTAAGTGTTTAAAAAGTTCCCAACGCTGGTGTCAAAAATGCAATTTTCTTCTGAAAAAATTGAAAGCCGAAAAAGACGACTATTTTTGACAATAAACACTGTACTATTAGCTCTACTATGATTTGAATTTCATTGAATTTCAAATCACAATTATGTTTTTGCCAAACTTATATAGGCGCAATAAGAAATATTAAACATTAGAATGTCAAAATTTGTTTCCCTTTCTTGGCTACTTGTTTTTCATTTGTCGATTTCAATCCCAATACTACATTCTGATCATGGTAGAAGAATATAGGTAGACGCATCGACACAGCTGCTGGGACAATGAACTGTCAAACCAGTTTTGGAATTGAAAATGTTGAATGAAAAATTATTTAAATTTGCAAAAATTGTTGAAAAACACGAATTATAATAACCTTCGAATGACGCCGTATAAGAAAACATTAAAATCTACTTATATTTTAAAGAACATTTAAATTTTTTGACATATCAATGCTCCAAAGCGTTGATGCATCTACCTGCATTCTTCTGCCATGATTCTGATATTTAATTTCGTAGTCAGCTGGTTTCGATTGGGGACCTAATAACTGGGCCACGGTAATGGCCTTGCTTTGATGCAGAAAAAACTGCGATCAAATGCAGTAAAAATAAATTGCCGATCTTGGTATTCACATTGAACTGATAACATATTACTGTAAACATTTCCTGCCAAAGGTATAAAACCGGGAAAGGGCAGAAGATAAACATTGCGAATATATCTGATTTTAGTCTGTATACTTTGTAATATTAAATTCACATAAATATAAATTTAATTTTATGGAGTTTAACAAAATTCTGTATTCCTAGAGCTCCCATCCATGGTGCTCACCCAGGACAATCTCTTCTGTACAAAGACTAGAAAATAAATCAGAAGTTCTGGATACCTTGAACCTTTTTTGAATAAACTTGGATTGGACAATATTCCACCCAGTAGGCTTGTATCTCCCCAACCCTCTTCCCATTCTTTCTTTTTACTTTTTGTTTACCAAAAATTAAAATAGATTTTCTTTCTAGTGTAAGTTTCTTAAACAAAAATTTCTTTTATTAGTATTTGCTATAAGCAAAAACATACACGACAAAATAATAGGCCATATGATCTTAACGGTATGATTTTTGGTAGCGAGCACGGGCACCTGGACCACCGAATTTCTTGGGTTCGCAGCGACGTGGATCACCAACCAACAAGGTTCTGTCGTATTGGATCAAAATGTCTTTAATTTCCTTCTTGGAGGCTTCATCGACATCTAAAATAGAAAACAAGAAAAATGATTTTAATTAGTAGTCATTAATCGGGGATATTAGTGTATCATAAATAAAACTGGATTTAAATTCTATGCAAATGTCCTTGGTGCATTTTATTGTAACTAGCTCAAATAGGTGCCAGCTTCAAGCAAAAATACCCAGCACTTTTTCTATTGCCCAGGTTTTGAACTCGTTTAAAAGGAATAAGTAGTTTCCAAACAAACATCTGGCAAGGGCTTATTTCGTGGACCAAAACTTGTTTAAATGTGCTTACAACATCACCCAAATTGTTTAGGGAAAATTCAAAATTTGGTTGGTAAATGTTTAACCCCTTGGTTACAAGGTTTGTCTACCTTTGTTTCTATCTTTCATTGAACACTGCTGCTTTTATTTAAAAAAAGTGACACTCAACAAAAATCTGGTACGAACAAGGCTTTAGGGATACTAGCTTAATTGTTTATTTGAAACATTTCAGTTGTGGTTCCAACATCACCCAAATTGTCTATGAAATGGTAATCGAAATTTGGTTGGTAAATGTTTAACCTTTTGTTTTAATCTACCTTTGTTTCTATCTTTCATTGGACACTAACAAATTATTTAAAATGACATCCAACAAAAATCTGGTATTAACAAGGCTCTTTTTGAGTTACTAGATAATTTTCGCAAATGTGGCTAACGCAACACCCAAAATATGTTTGAGAGCGACATTTTTGGTTGGTAAAATGTTTAGCCATAATTTAATCTGCCTGATAGGTATCTTTCAAGGGAAAACTTTTTTCAATTCCAATGAAAATCTGGAACAACAGGCACACATTTTAATTAAACACATAAACCGAGAATTATACTTACATTTTTGATAGAAAGCAATCAAAGCCTTGGAGATGGCTTGACGGATAGCATAGATTTGGGCGACATGACCACCACCGTTAACACGGACACGGATATCTACACCATCAAACTTTTCCTAAAAAACACAAACAAAAAAAGAGCATTAGACACATTCACATCTTCACAAACAACAATTTTATTGGGGCAATAATCTTCTCAGTTAGGCATAAAATTCTTTTCATTGGGAAAATCAATTTCGGGATAAGTAATAATCATCATGAAAATGTCACTGGCATATTTTATGCTTCACCACAACGTTTCTTACCTTGCCAAGCAACAACAAAGGTTCTTGCAATTTGTATTGCAAAACTTTGGGTTCAATTTGTTCCAAAGGACGGCCATTGACGCGGAGTAGACCACGACCGCGTTTGCAGTAGGCTACAGCGGTGGCAGTTTTCTAAAAGAAAAACATGAAACGACAATTAGTAAGCATGCTCGGACACAGACACGTTTGAAGGAAAACACATCACGTTTCATACACACTACACCGCCTTTATTGAGGAAATCTACACACTAAAGCCAGTCACTCAATTAGCATTAATGGCAGACATTTTTTTTCTCTTATCATCTCTCGTTTATTAAGCACGTGTGTTGTGTTGTTGAAACCATTGCTTGTCCTTCACTCGATGTACTTACTTTGCGTCCAAAGACTTGAACAGCATGAATAGGTTCCCTGCGCTGTAAAGAAATTTCCACAAATCAGTTCATTTTTGCCACAATTTCTTTATAAATTCACTGAAACTCACTTTCTGTTGCATTTTGCTTGGCGACCTAAGTAAAAAAGACCGGAAACACACACGAGGCCGCTGAACAGTAATTTAACGAAACTTTAGCCTGAAACGGACGAAATTTATCAACTGTGCTTCGTTAAATTGTACAGGGTTGTAGTTTGGACATGTTTAGAGTTGCACTTGGGTATTAAGGGTACTCACTGAATGGCGTTATTTAATAAAATATGCAATTTTAATGATTCATGGTAGAATGAGGAAGCAAAGCAGCTCTGAAAAAACTTTAACAAAATGCGAGACAATTGAGTTCATGAATTTATTATCAAAATACCAAAATTTGTCTCTGTCATGTAACCATACTGACAAATTGTCAATGAAAAGCTTTGATTGTATTAATCTTTCGTTCCGTATTGCTGTTCTTTTATTTGTCATCATCATTTGCTCTTTTGTCATCATCATCTGTTTTTTTAATATTTGGGGATTTCAAAAATTGTTAACATTTACTGTCGTTAAAAAAACTTGACGGTGAATAAAAACAATCGAATCAGTGTGTATATGGTTGCAAAATACAACCCTGTTTCGAAGTATTTTATGGAAAAACAAAAATAGGTAGTTTTTATATACAAAAAATATTTCCTTATGACGAGTGGGATATTTAAAATATTAATAAATAATCTGTTATTTTCGGCATTCCTTGGCAGGTAAAAATAATTCTATGTTCCATATCTTAGGAAGACGAATTGCATTTATATTTTGTTGAAATTGAACAGTTGGCGAATTCAGACCTTAGTTTTTCTCTTACTGTCAAATTTTTTTCTGCGAGAAATTGATATAAAATTGATGAATTTAATAAACCGAACCCCCCGGTAACTCCCTGGAAACATTACCATCTTCCTCCACTAATAAACAAACGTTGTTTTTATAAAAACTACTATAATGGGATTAAGCCTGACTATTTTGCAAAAACAAATGCTACGGTATCCCGAACAAACATGCCAACACTATTCTATACTAAAAAATGTTAACAAATACAACGGCACGTAAAAACAATCTTCCATATATTAGGAAGACGAATTTTATTTATCTTTTCTTGGTATTGAACGGAAGGCGAATTCAGGACTTAGTTTTTGGCATGGTACAATAAAAAGGTAAGGTAGAGCCATCAGCTGTTTACAATTTTTTTCTAAGTGTGCCCGACTTCTGCCAATTTTATGTATGTATTAATTGTTTTGAAAAATGAAAAAAAAAATATTCTTCCTCTTCGCAATCACTCATTTTTATTTATGTTTTATTTTATTTATTTTTTTTCTTGTTTTGTTTTATGATTATGTTTTGTTTTCGTTTCTCTTCTTGTGCTCAGCTTATGTATGTGCTGCTTCACCAAAGTCAAGACATAAATGAAGAAAACACTGAAGTTGGTACAACTTGCCCTCGCACGCAACAACAGTTGGCCCAACTTACGAAATTATCAAAAATTTTTGATATTTCCATCCAACTTCAACCAACTTTCGAAAAAGTTGTACAACTAGCCCTCAGACGCACCAATAGTTGTACCAACTCGTCACAAGTTGGCCTAACTGTTGGTGTGCCTGAGGGCAGCTTTAAGCATATGAAAATATAGTTTTTAAACCTTTCATCTTTAGAAAACTGCCACGGTGATGTTGGTTTTTAAGAAATCTTTGAAAGAGGTTTAATTTTAAGTCAGTCTTTATGGATCAAAACCCCAGAAATAACAGGTGAAAAATGTTGCCAATACTGCTTATTGATTCTGTACTAAAACGAAAACTCAAACTGGATGACTTTTTACCAAAAAACGGCGCGAATTCTGAAGACATTCTCAGATTTGAAATTTAGAAAAAAAATATTATTTTTGCAATGTAATATTTAATCAAATCATGTAGCAAAAAGGGGGGATGCATTATACAAAAACTACAAATGACACTAATTGCACATGGGCCCACATGCCACGAAAACTTAAACAAGATGTGGCAACACTGATACATACATTTCATCCGATAATATCGATAGAAAAAAACTGTTAATCGATACCCCTCTTAAAATACAGTATCGATATTTCCATCTCTAGTTCTGAACTTATGAAAGTCAAAGTCGACAAAAAAAGAAAAAAAAGAACCTTTTTATCTTTTTTTTTTGAGAATTGAAGTAATCAAAGTGTAGCATATATAGAACAGCACCAAACAAACCAAACCTCTACGTCACAACACCAAACAAAACGTTTTTGGCCGTCGAGTTGAAGGAACTTACTCCCCCGGTTCATTTAATGAATGTGGCCAGCGGTTCGATTTCCTCATGTCTCATTCGTAAACAACAGAGGTCCCTCGGGGATTTTGCTTTCTCGTTCTTTTTTATCGGGCATTTCTTTTTGATTTCTTATGTGGCGTTTCCACTGCACTTGATTCGCTCTCTATTCGTTGTTTGACCCTTAACTATGAAAAAACTACCTAATTCTTCACACAAAATTTCCTGAGTGAACACTCATATTTGTACGTTGTTCAAATCAAATCACTCTCAGAACAACGAAAAAATATGTCCCATCCCTAACAAATGAGAGCATTTATCGAAAAAATAAATTATGACTTTTAAAGATTATAAATAGAAAAATTTAATGAAATTTTAAAAATTTTTGGGAAGACTGAAAATTATGAATGAAAACTACAATGTTGAATGGCGTATGTACATTCAAACGAAAGTAAATTTTGCTTTCTCTCTCATTCGAGGTACGCATTTGGTCCACGAGTTAAAATTTCTACAGAAAACTGCAAACAAAATAGTCAATATTTTCAAAATGTTTCTATCGGCAGAAAAAATGTTTGACAAGTGTCTCTTCAGCAGAATTTAAAAATGGAAAAACACAAAAATATGTTCAAAATGTCAACATTTACACAAAAAGTTGAAAAAGTGAATGAAAATTGTAAAATTAATGATATAATAAATCTTTGGGAGAAAAACAATAATTTCTTCTATTCATATTAGTGAGAATTTTATGTATTTTCGCATACATACCCTTTAAAATCAACAAACAATTTTTTTGAAAAAAGGAATTATTTTACTATGAATTACGAATCGTGCCGTATGAACGGGTTAATTCGTGTACCTAATTCTGAGAGCGAACAACGTTGTTCGGTTTCCAATGGAAACATGCTATTATTTGTTCCGTTGGGGACGTCTTTCATTTTGGTTTCCCACGAGACAATAGACACCCCTATCAAAATAAATTATCGATACTTTCGATAGTGCCATCTCTAGTTCTGAGCTTATGAAAGTCAAAGTCGACGAAAAAAAAGATTCTTATACCTTTTTTCCTTTTTTTTGGGGAATTGAAGTGATCAAAGTGTAGCATATATAGGATATATAGGACAGAAAAAATGAAATTAAATGAACCATCTAGCCTAGGAATTGAAGAGGGAGAAATTGTGGACGAATATGAACTTATTTCCTCGGATGAAGAGGTTGGCATGAGGGAGCGAATTCGAGAATTGGAGGAGAAAAATGCTGAAATTGAATTCATATCGCAGATTTCAAGAAGTTATGGTAAATATATGTAACACTTGCAAGATAAGGTTTCATCGAACGGACCGATTTAGATAAGTTTTCTTAAGTTGGTTGGCCCCCAACTATGAAAGCCAAAATAGATTTTTTTTATCTATACCTTCCCTCCCTGTTGCAGATATTGAACGTGCTGCACGCATACCCACAGACGTTTCATCGATATCATCGACAGAATTTAAGACTCCCAAGAAGAGGAAACGCCACAAAAACAAGGAACACAAAGTGAAATGTCATCACCACCGCCATCACAGTAGCAGCACACATCATCGACATCATTCTACGCAAATTGATAAGAAATCGTCAAGGTCAAGAAAAACACGTTGTAAACGAAAAGAAAAGCTCTTGCGGAAAAAACATGCAAAATATGCATATCGAGATTATGGCGATAATCTTAAATTGGGCTTGGTGTCGCCAGATTCCCTGGGGACGGATTTATCTTCTAGCCTATCGGATAGTGAAGACTCCCAACGCCTGGATTCGGGAGCGGAAGACTTTAGAGATGATTACCACTATAGGGAAAATATTAGGGATACACTGCGTTTGGCCGTTTCCAGACATAGGAAAAATTCCACACGCCAAACTAAACATAAAAATGGTCTAATGGAAAAACTAATGCGAAGAGACGAGATGTTCAGTGAAAATGTTAATAGTTTCCAGCCAGATGATCAAAATATTGATATAGTTGAGGATGCGGACGCAGATGAAGCTGATACAGTTGAAATGTGTCCACCACCACCACCAAATGAAAATCTACACAATGTACCTGAAGATTCTTGCGATTCCTTAGAGGAGAGGGAGTTGCGTCTTATTGCTCTAAAATCGGCAATTCTCAAGAAACACATGGAGCGCAAGAAACGTAATGCCGAGGCGGCGTACTCTCCCACAGATTTTGATGAAATAATAATGCCCGAAGAAAAACTGGATGATATAGAGGTTATCGATTTGGAAGAAGACGATGATTCACAAAATGCTTGTGCCACGGTAAGCCCCATAACTTCCCCGCAGCTAATGTTACTCGATGGTCCGGATGAGAGTTCTCAAATTGACTGTAAACCAGTCGATATGGACATTGCAAATAGTGATAGCGATGAGGCAAATGATAATTGTTGGGGTGTTGTTCCCATGACGCAACCGATGTCTTTTTCTGCATTCGCCCAGCAAGACATGGCCAATCTTTGTGCCTATGGGAATGGTGAGTTTTATATTGGAGAGTTTCCTGTGAATACCTCGAATCCTCCTCCACCTGGTGTGGATGATTATGAAGACATTAAGCAACCTGACATTTCATTTGACAAATATCAAGACAGTGATGGTCAAGATATGGAATTAGATAATGAATTTGAACCCATCGAATCATATCCCAGTCAAAACCAGAACATGGAACCAATTTCTGTGCCAGAAGTGAAGACAGAATTCCGAGAAGAAGAAGAAGAAGACAGAACTAAGGAAGATGACCTTCAAGAGGAGGAAGAAGAAATGGCTTTAAGGGCTCTATTATTGGCCAAGTTCCAATCGCCCAAAAATCAACAAAAGAAGCCTAACGTTGTCGAGAGAGACACTAGCTCGAATATGGATGTAAAACCAAAAATTGCAAAACCCACTGAAGCCATTCTCAAAGAAGCTGTCAAACGTCTACAAATTCACTCACAACTGGAATGTCGTCAAGAGTCAGGGTCGCATGAAGCCCACATAAAAACTGAACGTGATATTTCAAGACCTTTATCCTGTGATCCCTTGCACAGAAAGAATGATGTCCTTATTTCGTCACAAGATAATTCAAGAGATTCGGAATCTCTGGCCTTGGTAACTTTACAAAGAAAGGCAAAACAACTTAAATGCCACAATGAAATAAAGGAAATATCAAGTCACAGGGCTGTGGATGAACGAAGGCAGGATGATGTTATGAGTAAGGATCGCGATTTTGAGAGCAGATATGGGATTGGAGTTTATGGAAAGGAGGAAACGCTTATGACCCGCAATGAGTATGTGGATGAAAGAGGTTGTGATTTTGGTCACAATGAGCATCAGTTTAATGGTGTTCCAAATCAGCATAAATATAGAAGTAAATTTGATGAATTTGCGGAAGAATTGGACCATGTTCAAGAGCCACCAGCACAGCCAGATTCTGCTGAAATAACTGAATCAGCAGTAACTTATGCAAGTAATGACCAAACCGAAAACATTCCTGTTATGGATAAAGATATTAAAAGACGTTTACAAAAACTTAAAGACGAAATTTTGTCGGCAACAAAATTGCAGTTGTTGGATGCTAATAAAGAAGCGGGCAATGCGGAAATGAGTATCTCAATAAAAGGAAATCAGGTATCTAAGCATTTAATAGATGAAGTGCGAGAAGAGCATCCAACCATGGAAAAGGAGGAAACAGAAAAGGCTGTGGTAGTTCAAAAGGATACTATTGATAAACCACCCACTTCTATGGAAATTGAGAAACCCGGTGGTGAGGAAAGGGTTACAAAACCTCTTCCGGTTTTGGCCAATGATAATACCAACCATCCAAGAAAGAAGGAAATCAGTAAAAATAATACTGCTCTCAAAGAAAACAATGTAAATAGTGTGAATAAAAAACCTGTGGAAAATATTAGTTCAAAACCTGAGCAGCCGTCGGCGGTCAAAAAAGCTACAAAAACAATAACAAAAACAATAAATTCCATCAGTGCAAAACAAACAAAATTGAACCCATCCAAGGCAGTTGTTATAAATAGTAATACAGTTACGCCAAATGTCTTACCACAAATTACAGTTACGGCCACAGTTAAGCCACCAACGCTACCGCCAACCTACTCCGTCTTACGCACCACCAAAATAGTCAAACCCAATAAGGTTATAAATCGAAATATTGATACCACCAAACGCAAAGTTATTCTCATAAAATCTGAACAAAATTCTGTCCAGACCAGTCAAGCAACGCCCGCGAAACAAATCAAATTGGAGCCATCTATCATTCCTGCCAACAAACCTGCGGATAATTCGCGTTTAATTACATCCATGGAACAGGTGAAACATATGTGCAATGTTGCTCAACTAGTTATAAGTGTCCAGAATTCATCGAACGAGTCCAGCGACGAAGAATGGCCTAATTGTGATAGTTTTTACAAACCTTTAATTGATTACAATGATAATGCCAGCCCACTGAGTTTAAATATGGAGAGTCCCTGTCTAACGCCAATAAGGTCACGGTCACCAATTGACATGGCCCAACAGAATACGGAAGAAGCGAAAACAACTGGAAAACGTTCTCCTGTTGTATTGAAAAAACCAGCTGCCCGGACAATGTCACCAAAAACTCCCATTACTGGAGTGGACAGTAAAACGAAGACTGATGGCAATCTAAAAACTCCTGTGGTAGGTTTAAAAATTATTAGCTATTGTCTTGTAGTACTTTTCATATCTTTGTTATTTAGGCTGTAAGACATTTGCCTCCCGCCGCCCAAGATGAGTATCGACAACTGGTCCACCGCATGAAGTTATTGGAAAATCAGAGAAATAAAAAAGACAACAAAAAAGCAAGTGAAAATGACACAAACCCCAATGTATGCAGTGATGATACGACAAAAATGGAAGAGGAACAAAATTTACAAATCGATAAGAAATCAAGTCTGGTGAAAAAAGTTCTATTGAGAAATGCCAATAAGCCGCAGCCGGGGACGGTGGTGACTAGCAATGAAAACCCCCCAAGCAAGGCAACCACAACACCTCACCATTCTAAAACCCATAAAACCGAGGTTTTGCGTTCCTATGAGAATTTATATGCAAAAATTGGGTAAGATATCATGTCATATACGGTAGAGAGGGAGAGAAATTCATTTTATATTTTTTCATTCGTTTAGATCTGGAATTGTCAATAATTTGGATAAGTCTCTAAAATTGGTCGAAGAAGCCAGAAAAGCCAAAGTCAATAAATTGCAATTAGAAGAACGCCTTCGAGAGTTAAGAGCCGAAATGGATTTGCTACAGACTAAGCACAAGGAAGAAGAACAAAAGATATCACGCATTTATCCAACAATATGTTCGACAAATGAGGTCATAACCTCGTTGAAACAAAAACGTAGCAAGGTGTTTAAGGCGGCCATTGGATTGGGAAAAACTCTAAAGGGCGAAGAATATAGGTAAGCCGCCGATCTTCTTAGATTTTTACTTATCAAATTTACAGCAAGCAGGGGATTCACCGATGTAGCTGAAAAAATCATTCGAAACGATTTCGGGTATAAAAATGGCGTTTTCAAGCAAACTTCTGTAAATTTCGGAGGCCCCCTGACTATGTGGGTGCTTGGGTTTATATCAATAAATTCTCCTCGTTAGAATTGAATGATATTTCCAAAGGAAGTTCGCTCTTCCTAGAGTCTTTCTTATTTATTTCTTATTATAAGGAAACCCATTTGTATTTTTAATAGAAAAGTTGTTGCCTTTTCTGTTAGAACTAGAATTTTTCCCAAAGAGACTTCATTCATCCTCTTCTATCGTTAACGAATAAGGCCAATGCAAACAAACTGTAATAATCTTTTTTTGTTTGTCTTTTCCAATTATAGACTGAATAATGATTTAAAACAAAATATAATTAATAAAACAAAACTATTGGCGGCTGAAATTAAAATAGTAAACTCACTGAAGGCTGAAAACATAAAGACATTACTTAATGAAAAAACGGGATTAATGGAAAAGACAGATGCCCTAATTGAAGCAGAAGAAGAAGAAGAAAATAAAGACGAAAAGAAAACACCTCCTTCCGATGAGGACACCTCAAAGAAACCCTCAACACCTGCCATAAATAAAACTGAAATCAATGTTGACACAAGAATTGATGCCTCCAAAATACTTGGCGGTTCCACAGAAGTGCGTTTAAACAACAAGACAACAGTAACTTGCCTATATATTTTAACATAATAATATCTATAAAACATAGTGATGATAATTCTTTTTAAAAAAACGGCTTTCTAAACAAATCACGGCATAAAATGATATTAACACATTCTATTAACATTATTTGTTGAGTTAGTTTCAGGATACGGCTAATGCTGCTGTTGCTGTCGATGATGCTGTTGCCGGCGGACCGCCAAACAATAATTGTGATACAAATTCCATTAGTGAATATGAAACCTTTTGCAGTGATAAACCAGCCAGCGCCAATCAAGATGAGGAGCCAGCGAACAAAAAAGATGAAGACGAGGAAGAAGATACCGGGAAATCGTTGCCATCGTATATATCACCATTGGACCACATACGCTGTAGCAATGAAGGGTAAAATCATATCTTTCCATTTTTTTTAAATTTTAGTTTGTGGTACTTTTATCTTGATCTCTTCGCAATTTATATTCCAGTACTTTGGATCCGAATGGCGTTGTGTGTCCCTATGATCTCATGGGTAATTGTGAGGACGTTAATTGTAAATATGTACATATATCCTCGAAGGATAACAAACAGCCAGAAAAGCAAATAGTAACAACCTCCTGAATGTGGTCGTGTCTTCAATGTGTGATGGCCTGGGGAATTGTTTTGGGTAAGTTCTTACAATAACCTTAAACACCTTAGCCTCTAACGTGTAAGCATTTAACATGAAACAAAAAAAAAAAAAAAAGAAAATAAATCACAAGGCTTTTCCTATCCTGCCTTATTATACCATGAAATTGAATCCAAAAAAATATGTTGATACAAAAACACAATTCGTCGTTGCTATAAAATCAGTGTCTTTCTTGTTAGTTGACATGTTAGTTAGTTTATTTTATGGTTTTAAATTATTACTTGGAAATTATTTTGCCCTCCCCCTTTTTGTTTGTTGTTATGTTTTGCTTTATTTTTTTCTTCATATATAAAAAATCACGTTAAAAAAAATATGAAAAATTTAGGTGCCATTTTAGAGAGAGCAAGATTTTTTAATTATTATTATTATTTCATCCTTGTTGTACACACCCCCCATATCATTTTACTTATCACAAAGAAAGACACTTGATTTCCAAAACAAAAAAAGAAAGAAGAAAACTAAAACCAATTACTATATATATATTATCTACATTGAATGATTTAATATTTTGTAATGTTATGTTAAGAAAAAAAAATATTCTAAGTTAAAAAAAAAAAAATAAATAAAATAGAAAACAAATTTTCAAAAATGATGATAAATATTTTTGCTAAAAACAAAAATGAAATAAAATAAAAAAATGCAAAATTTGAATACTTATCAAAAAAATAAACGTTGTTTTATTGTGGGATTTTTTTTTTAAGGATTTCTTTTTCTCATTTTTCTTTTTCTTATGTTTCTAAAGAGTGGACCTAATACATATAATATTTGTTCATAAATATAATAGTTAAAAAAAATTTGTTCTATCACAGCCAATTCAATAACTTAAAAAATAAATAGGTTTCATTCCTTCAGCATCTATAAACAAAACGTCTTGTTCTTTTAAAATATTCCCAATAGTCTACAGTTGGGGCTCCACCCGGTAATAGACATAGGCATAACACCATTCCTTTACACCCTCAACATTGCCACAACACAGTGGATAAACTGTCGTCGATTTGGTTATTTTTGCACAGCGCATACACAATTCCATGGCAGTTTGATCCTCCTCGCATTGACGTACTTGTTCTTTGGTTTCTTCATCCAATCGCCCATTGTATTCACCACTGTGATCATCATTTAAATAGTCTTCATCGATGGGCATACTGTGCGTCAGCTTAACGGCGGGTAATAAAATTGCCACAGCCAGCAGGACAATTAGGGTAAGAACAATCTGAAATTAGAACAAAAAAACATTTAATTATTGAAATGTTTTATTACAACTTAACTGAAGTGCAGAGTTATAACAAAATATTCAGTTAATTGGAGTGTTTCAATAAAAACACGTCATAAACTTAAATATTTCTTCCAAAACAACAAAAAATGGTAAAAAATCCCCTGTTTTAATAATATATGAATGTCATTAAATGCCTTGTTTACATCGACGTCTTAATTATCTGTTCAACGAACATTCGTCATTTATTTAACGAATATACCCATAGACAAATAAAAATATAGACAACGAAATGCTCTCACCGTTTATCTTCCAAAAAAATTGGATCAACAAATTTCGCGTATATCGTTTCAGGGGTTTGGGTGAGAATATTGAAGTCTGTAGAATATTTGTCAGTTGAAAAATGTTCCATAATAAAAGAAATGTGAAAAGAACGTGATGACATCGGAAAATTCCGGAATAATCAAGTGGAATTCTTGGAAAACGATAAAATGTGTTTTCGAAGTCGAGTGGGTTGAACGCGTAAATCAGCATGTTGACTATGCAAAACATGATGAGAGCCACCTGGATAAAAAGACATCTTAATTTGTCTATGATATACCATGGTAGAAGAATGTAGGTAGATGAATCAACGCTTGGGAACGTTGATATGTCAAAATTTTTAAAATGTTTTGTCAAAAATAAATAAATTTTTATAAGTTTTCTCATACGACGCAAAGTGGAGGTTTTTCTGATATGCATTTTTTAACAATATTTACAAATGTGAGTATTTTTTCATTCAACAATTTCAATTCCAAAATCGGTTTGACAGTTCATTGTCCCAGTAGCTGTGTCGTTGCGTCTACCTGTATTCTAACCCGTTCTACAAAAATTGTTCGGTGTAAATGAGGCTTAAGTATAAAACACTTTTGATAAAATTGCGTCGTAAAACGAAGTATTTTATTAAATCCCTTTATAAACTGATGTGATTTATAAAAAACGTCGTATTTTTAATTAAAACAATTCATGGCAAATTAATTACGCAAAGGCTAAAACCATGGTAGAATTACGAAGGTAACCCTGTACACTCATCTGTTTACAGTTTTGCAAAATTGTTTCTTTGAGGTCTTAATGTCAAAATGTACATTCATAAATTCTTGCTTGCATTTTATGCAGTTCAATTTGAGAGAGGGAGAGAGAAAGAGAGAGAACTGCAGAGCTTGATGTCCTAATTCGCTACTGTAAAATAATAGTTTCGTGGGCCAGAACATAAAACGCCTTCAAAATTATACAAAAAACGCGGCTTAAATTAAAGAGTTTTAGCAAAAACACGTCGTAATATAAGGGCTCTATCAGACGAAATGTTTTTTAAATATATATTGTGTAAAATTTTCATATGTAGAAGTTGCATATATCGTGTGATACATGAACGACCATACATACCATGTTGAAAAAAATACAGCTAGTCGCATCGACACAGCTGCTGGGACAATGAACTGTCAAAACAATTTTGGAATTAAAAATTTTCTAATTATAAATTATTGAAATATTTGAAATTTTTTTTAAAAATGCATATGATAATAACCTCCGATTGGCTTTGTATAAGAAAACACATAAATCACTTAATTTTGAGAAATTTTAAAAAAAGATGCATTAATGCTTGGGAACATTGTAATGTCAACATTTTTAAACGATTTTTCAAAAATAATTAGGTTTTTATTGAAGTGGTTAAGAAATGCATTTTTTAAAACGAATTACAAGTTTAAAAGATTTTCATTTAAAATTTCAAAAATTGGTTTGGCAGTTTACTGTCCTGTATTATTCTACCATGGCACATATGTAGTTTTTCGATAACAAAAGATTTGTTTTTTTTGTCATGAGTAAAGTATTTCCATTTTTAATGAAATGCAATAAAATCACAATGCAAACAAAGGAAATAAAGAGACATATTTGCAAGTGTGTAATAGCAAAAACTTTGAGTCATATGTAAAATGGCAATTTTGACATAGACACTGAAATACACATGGATAATAAAAGTGACAGCACATATGTAAACATACTATTAAATGCTATTTTACAAAATACAAAAATAAGTTCCAAGCGTGGTAAAATTAAGAAGGTAAAGTCATTTCAGCATACTTATCACTGCATTTTCTGTAATTTACCTTGTCACATTTCACTACATTGTGTATGTACAATGGATTCATAAATACAAATTTTGACAATGAGATGTTGTCAAATGAATAGTTTTTGAAAAAATGTTAAACATATGATTGCATGACTTTACCTCCTTGATTCTACCATGGTTCTAAGGACCATTAATATAATTTATAAGAAACCTAATTTACACCGACGCGTCATATATTTGATATATATTAAATGGAATTGACAATGTTAAAAAATCGTTTTATTAAAAATTATTCGTTATTAATAATATTTCCTGTTTTAACAACGCATTTGGTTGCATTGCAAGAACACTGATATTTTATTTGTTTATTGAAGAATACATTTTTTCTTTCAATGTTTCTATCAACCACAAGAAAAAATCCTCTTTTTTGGTAATTAAAATATATATTTGTTTGACATCTAACCCAGTTGTTTATGTTTTCATGCTGTATTATTGAATGAAAAGGTTGTGTTTGACAGTTGATAATCAGCCGGCCTTGCTTTGGAGTCATATAATTGGTTGTTAAAAAAAAAAAAAAAACAAAATAAACCCAAATTATGCGTTTTACGAAAATTTGTCATCTAATGTAAATAAAGCAATTTATTAAAATATGTTTGGTGTAAAAATACTTTATTAAACTTTGTCAAACCACAACAAAACATCTATTCAGGAAGTTGTCAATACAAACTCTTCATAAAACTTCATGGATAAAACATTACAGAGACAGAGACAGATTGATATAAACCTCTCATTAGTCATCTAATTTGTACTGGAATCAAAATTTTGGGTCATACATCCATTATAAAAATATAAATTCACAATAAAAATTAGTATGAAATTAAAACAATTTCAATACAACAATAAAAAAGAATACTATTTCAGAAACACACTGACTGTGTTTATCAGCTTTTTTTTGTGCGCTATTCAAATTTAACTCTCTGCGACCTTTGATTAAGAGCAAAGACAAACGGCGATTTCTTCGGAAAACATATGGTAATTGCCAAAAATGTTGTTGATAGTCGGCATGTGTGTCTGAACGACAACAGACACGACTTATCTCTATTCTACTATATATATATATATGTATATATATATATTCAAATACAATGTCTAGGATCTAAACATGTTTTCTAATTCTTGTTGTTTTGTCTGGAGAGAGTTTTTACCCTTGCATATAGTATATGGGAAGTACAGTATTTTTGGTGTGTGTGACACAATTCAGCAAATCGGTGATTTTGTAAAGAAAGTCTCAAAATTTAAATCATTTTAGAAAAAATCTATATAGTTCTATGCGCGACTAAACAAAACGTGTAGATTGAACTTGTTGATGGGAGACAAAAATGGGTTGCACGTTTTTTTTCGGTCTCACGCATTGACTGGCGCTCTCATATAAAAATGAAACACGCTATTACTCAGTACCGCTGTTCTCATCGTCCTATTGGTTCTTTTTAATCAAGTAGCAACGCAAAAAATCGTATATAGAGTTGATTATGTTCTATTTCTTGATTATGCTTTAATTGAGTGACATAATTAATAATAACAAATCTAATGTCGGAAATCCACAGGCAAAATATCGCTTTGTTTGTTTAAATTACACATCTACGGAGATTCGTTAACTATTTGACATAAACCCATAGGAATTGACAATCTTAATTACGCGTTTTTTGAAAATATGTTCGGTGTAAACATGGTAGAAGAATACAGGTAGATGCATCAACGCTTGGGAACATTAATATGTCAAAAAACTATAAACATTTTTCAAATATAAGTAGATTTTTATATGTTTTCTTATACGACTTCATTCGGAGGTTACTATAATTCATGTTTAAATAATTTTGCATTCAACATTTTCCAATTCAAAATTGGTTTGACAGTTTATTGTCGATGCGTCTACCTATATTCTTCTACCATGGGTGTATAGAGGTTTTATATGTATACATTATCGATAACATAATTAAACAAGGCTTATAGTACGTTTACATGTTATCGAATTCAGTAAACCCTGCAATTTTAAATTGGTAATTTGCTTGCATTTACTGCAAAAAATTCTTCATAAAGGAGGTTAAGTGGTCAAAACTTTAATATGAACGTACTATTCCGTGCATGGTAGAAGAATATAGGTTGACGCATCGACACAGCTGCTGGGACAATAAACTGTCAAACCAATTTTGGAATTGAAAATGTTGAATGAACAATTATTTAAATTTGTAAAAATTGCTGAAAAACGCGTATTACAATAAGCTCCGAGTGACGTCGTATAAGAAATCATATAAAAATCTACTTATTTTTAAAAAGACATTTAAAATTTTTTGATATATCAATGTTGATGCGTCTACCTGTATTTTTCTACCATGATTCCGTGGCTTGCTTATGTCGTGTAAACACGGCAATTACAAATGACAAATCCATTGTTAAGGAATACAGGTATTGTAAAAAAAATCAATAATTATGTTCGTTAAAAATAGTAAAAAAGCGAAATTTCAAAATCTCACTGAAAGAAATAAAATCCGTTCGAAAGATTTTAGTCCTATACCCTGAAATTTAGCAAATCTTGTTGGCTTTTTTGACATGCAATTAAATCAAGTTAACATAAATTTAAATAGTAATACCCAGCTCTACATTTTTCTGTGATATAATTTGATTGTTTTTCGATATCAAAAAAGAAAAATATTTAATATTTTTGATTAAATAACAGCTACAGGAGGACGGATTTCGATACTGAACATTTCCTTTCTTTTGTCGATAATGTTTAACCCGAAAAATGCCTCAACGTGTGCATTCTGTTTATCCATTTAGATTCTTATTTACCGGATGTAATATTATAATATAATTTACCGGATAAATACATAGGAGAATTTCTTTTAGCAAAATCATGAACTGGCTTTAAAATTCATGATCATGAACTGGCGGATACATTCGCCGTCGGCATTTTTTGTTGGGAATTTTTAGAAAGAAAACGAATCAGGAAGTGGTCACTTAACGCTATTTCCAGTGAAAATTTGTCAAATAAACGTCGTGGAAAAAAATATTCGTTTTAGATGTGAATGTAAAGGTGAGAATATATAAAACGCTTTTTTGACTGGTTTAAGTCATCGGCTGACTTCTTCGTAAAGGAGCAAAGAAGTTTTAGGTTGACTTAGTTCGATTTTGGTCCTATGCTCCTTTGTTCTTTTCCAAAGAAGCCAGTCAATGAATTAAACCAGTCAAAAAGCGTATTAAGCATTCTCACCTTAATTTCTAAAGAGCCTAGTCTCCAGAGTTTTATCGCCAATGTCAATTTCGACAAAAAAAAAACACCAAAGTTAAAACACTGCAGTTGCTGCAGTAAAATCATAGCAAGAATTTGTTTTTTTTTTAAGAATTTCGTTTACAACAACAAAATTTCGTTAATATTTATCCTTTTATTTTTTTTTTTTTCAAAAAATTTGCGATAATTACATTGAAAAAGTTTTATTTGTATTTTTTTATTAAAAATTATTTTTTATTAAAAATTATTTTTATTCATTTATTTATTTTTTTATCTATCATATTTTATGTTAAATCTTGTCTTATATCGCTTCACATTTGATTTTTCCACAATTCACTTACATTTCTTTTCATTTTGTTCTCTTTATTATTTGGTAAAGTCAATGAATATAAATTATAATAATATCCGATAATTTTAAGCGGCGTTTAGTTGCTTCAACGCGAACGTTTAAACTGAATTTGAAAATATGCGAACGGATTTTATATATAACATTCGATCTTTTTAGATACGGGAAAATGAGCGTTAAAGCACGCTACGAATTGCAGCGCTTGAGGGCGGGCAAACCAATCAGCCAACATACATGACAGAGGGCTACCATTTCCTTTTATCTAATCACAGGCGATATTTGAATCACCTTGTTTTTGATAGAATATTTATCTAATCAATCAATCGGTGAAGCTGAGTCGCCATGTGTTTTTCATGCAAACTAAAGCTGGTTCATATTTTAAAGCTATTAACATAACTGGCACTTCAACATCAGCCAAATAATTAATAAACTAATAATCTATTTTGGATTTTCCAAAGATATGCAAAAAAAAAAAAAAAGATTTTCTATTTATAGGGTAAGTAATGTGTTTATACAACTAAATTACTTTTCTCTCTCCCACCTAACGGCTTTCACATTGTTGTTACTTTGCTCTCGCCTATCTCACAGCAGACACGAAAGAAGTACCCACAACAGACGATTGTGGTAAATTAAAATACGAACGGTAGACCCGAACATTATCTCGGTTTGTTTGTTTCTTTCTTCTTTGAATATGCTAGAGCCGAAGAAATCACCGTTATGCAGCAGTTTAAAGTCTAAAGGCAAAAGCAGAGCAACACGACTTCGTGCTTTTTATTTTGAGGGGGAATCTCACAGTAAAACTCCTCCATAACGTTATATCATAGACAAATGAAGGTATAGACTAAAAAGTTTTAAAATTTTCCCTTCCGGCAGATGTCACTATTGTTGATCTTGGGCCAGTCAAGTCACTCAGGGCTAGTGAAGTCACTCGACTTCGAAAACAATTTATTCACTTTTCTGCTATTTAAATTCTATATTTTTATATTTCACGACATATTTGGATAATGTAAATGTAAACAAAGTTACCGTTTCGATTTTAATTGATAAATAATACAGAATCATAAAAATATTCAATATTTTGTAGTTTGAGAGAATTGAGTGAGTCTACTGAATCTCTCTCACAGCATGAACGACATCTATTGAAGCACTTTTTTCGAAGATAACAGATGAGACAACTTTTTAATCTATACCTAATTTGTCTATGGTTATATGTCAAAAGGTTAACATTCACATGCACAAATTGACAAACATACAAATGCATAGCAATTAATTAAAGAACACTGCAACCAATTTGGATTTTCTTGGGAATCTTGGGATGTTGGTGTTGTTGTTGTTGTTGTTTGGTGCTTGTTTGTTTGGGCCGCAGTCATATAAATTAATGGGAATATTGTTTTTATTTTAAGACCAATAATCTATTAAAAAAGAACAACCATTCAATTACTTCGGACTGCATCGTAAATCTGGTGATAAGAACACCATTTTTTTTTTGAGAACAAGAGAATAAAAGGCATCGTTATTCTTTGTCATGCACGAAGTTGCATGCAATGCAATATTTACACCTACAAAAGTTATTCTCGGACCAACAAGAGATAATGAAGTAGGTGCCATATATATAAATAACTTTATTATAGAATATTGGCACATACATATATCTGCATATATAAATTCATTTGTTTTTCGAATGACCCTATAAAAATCGCTGTGTCTGTTGTAGCTCAGTGTTTGTTGTAAAATATTGAGTGTGGCAAACACTTATCAGTCATCCATCCATTTTAGCATCCATTTCATTTGTTTGTTTTCTTGGTTCTTTTACCATCAACCAAATCGAAGGAGGAGCTTTAATAGTTAACACTTCGTAGAGGGGAAACTCCACCCACATCACACTTACCACAATCAATATACACTTTTACAAACTATAAAAAAATGTTGTTTTAATATACAGTAGACATATTAGGGTGATTCCAATAAATGATTTTGGAAATGTAGAACTGATTTCAATATCTGAAATCAGTAAGGTGAGAATACATAAAACGCTTTGTTGACTGACTTAAGTCATAGGCTGGCTTCTTCGTAGAGGAACGAAGCAAAGACCTAAAATGGTAAAGACTGGACAAAATTAATTTTGACAAATTCCTTGTGTCTAGAATACATAGAGTAACAGTTCATGAATGACAAACAAAGATGTGAAAAATCCAAAAATGTGGTTTCAAAATTCTATTCCATAGACCTTTCCAAAATGTTGCATATTGCCTTAGCGGTTTAAATCAATTAACATTGGTAACTATGTTGCTACCATGGCAGAAGAATACAGGTAGATGCATCAACGCTTGGGAGCATTGATATGTCAAAAAAATTTAAATGTTTTTTCAAATATAAATAGATTTTTATATGTTTTCTTATACTACGTCATTCGGAGGCTATTATAATTTGCGTTTTTCAACAATTTTTACAAATTTAAATAATTTTTCATTCAACATTTTCAATTCCAAAATTGGTTTGACAGTTCATTGTCCCAGCAGCTGCGTCGACGCGTCTACCTATATTCTTCTACCATGGTTGCTACGATATCATAACAAGAGAGGTATTTTCACAGGGTTGCCATATGTTGAGTCTGTTTTGTCCTATCTTTACACTTCTATGTCTTTGTTTACTAAGTTTTAGGTTTACTTAGTTCGATTTTGGCCATACGTTCCTTTGTTCTTTTCCGAAGAAGCCAGCTGATGACTTAAGCAAGTCAAAAAAAAAACTCATTATGTATTCTCCTTTAGGAGACATAGTCCTAAAATGCAATGGTAATAATATGGGTAGATGCATCAACGATTGGAAACATTGTTATTTCGATTTTTTTTTAATGTTTTATCAAAATTAATTAGATTTTAAAATGATTTTTTATATGACGCAAATCGGAGGTTGTTATAATATGCATTTTTCAACAATTTTTCCAAATTTTAATAATTTTTCATTCAACAATTTTTCCAAATTTTAATAATTTTTCATTCAACATTTTCAATTCCAAAATCGGTTTGACATTTCATTGTCCCAGCAGTTGTGTCGATGCGACTACCTGTTTTCTTCGACCATGTAAAATGCCAAGACTTTAAGTACGTTCACATATAAATCTTTATTCTGATTAACCACGATTATTGACCAATCCCAATAAATTTGACTATGATAAACATATGGTATTATTATTGTGATTGGTCATCATATCACAGCTAACCAAAGTAAAATTTTGTATGTAAACGCGCTATGTGTTTGACATAATGAAAGGTTTACACAACATTTTTAATCGGATTGACCTTCATTATTAGGATTTATTCAAACATATTCAAAGTATATTTACCCAGAATATATCCCATGCATTTCCACTGCCAATTTGATTGCATAAACTTCAAATCTTATATATACTGGATTATATTTCACATCTACGCAATGGAATTGACAGTTGAAATGCTCTAAATATATTTCATGTAAACCATGCAAAAATAGATCTATTTATGATCTGAAATCGAATGGATCTTATTAGATACATACAAAATGACATTAACAGTTAAAATCCACCGGATTTCTAATGTGTGAACATGCCTTTACCATATTTAAATAGATCTGCTCATATCGACCCAGCTGTTGGGACAATGAACTGTCAAACCAATTTTGGAATTGAAAATTATGAATCCTGAATTATTGAAATTTTTAAAAATTGTTGGAAAATGCATATCATATCCCCGATTTGTATCGTATAAGAAAACATATGATCTACTCATTTTTGTCAAAACATTTTAAAATTTTTTACATATCAATATTCTCAAACGTTGAGCATCTACCTGAATTGTTCTACCATGATATTATTCTAGACCATGTTTGCACGAAAATAAATTTTAATTTATTTGACAAAACCAAATATCTTTCCCACTTTTGCGCTTCTTTAAAAAAATCATAAAGCTTGCAGGCGAAACGTCAAATTCGACTATTGCGTTCACACATGGACATGTGACAATAATAGTTGCGACAAATTGAGGTTTTTCATTTTTAAACATTTAAACTACATCCTAATACACGCAATGAGTGTGCGACAGCCATTTTTTGCCATCTCCATGGCCTCATGTTTGTTGGCCTCAATACAAGTGTCAGACCGCAAATTGAAATTCGATCCGAAATGTTGTGGTATGTTTGTGTTTGTTTGCTGGCAGCCAATTGGTTATTACACAAAAAAGATGAATTACTGAAAACTACAATTTGACTTTATATTATTTGAGTAAACTGTACTTTTTTTATTGCCAAAGTTACGAATGGTGGAGGAGTATGTTACTATTTATAAGCAATCGCAATAGATTTTGTAAATTATTCCAAGAAATAATCTAAATCTGTCTATGGCTATAATTAAAATGCGTCGCATACATCACACACTGTCTATGTCTGGTTGAGTTGCAAATATGGTAATTTTGTTAGGCGCTTGCTATAGAGACAAAAACATGGTCAGCAAATATCTAGAGATGTGTATGAGCATGGCGACAGAATACAGGTAGATGCATCAAAGCTTGGGAACATTGATATGTCAAAAAAATTTTAAATTTTTCTTCAAAAACAAGTAGATTTTTATAAGTTTTCCTATACGACGCCAATAGGAGGTTGTTATAATATGTATTTTTGAGCCATTTTTATAAATTTGAATAATTTTTCATTCAAAAATTGTAATTCCAAAATTGATTTGACAGTTCATTGTCCCAGTAGCTGTGTCGATGCCATGTATTCTTTTACCATGTGTATGAGTACGGACGATGACAGCCTAAATAGATATTACTTTATTTGTAGTGTTTATACGTGACATGATTTAAATTATTTTTGTATATTTATATTAAATTTTAATAAAACGCCCCATTTACATTTACTCTGTGCGTCTATACACAAAATACTTTATATGATCCAGCTATTACTTTGATTTTATCAAATGAAAGACTCCGCAGTCTAATGGTAAAGGAATATAGGTAGACGCATCGATTTTAAATTTTAAATGTTTCTTCAAAAAGAAGTAGATTTGTATGTTTTCCTATACGACGTCAATCGGAAGTTTTTATGATATACATTTTTTAGCCTTTTTTACAAGTTTTAATAATTTTTAAAAATTTTCCATTCCAAAGTTGGT